ATATTGACCAGATGGGAACGCAAAGTGCTGGGCTTTTCCTCGAAAAATAGTCAATATTATGTCGCGAACAAGGGGGGGAGGAGCTATGCCTCATTCTCTCGCCACCACCTAGCCTCGCTTCCCCGTATTTTCCAGGATCAACAAGACAACGATAAGTCGTTTCACAACGTAAAACGCGGAGCCGCGGGTGATGATAGATAGAAGAGGGGGGTAGAGTCTCCTTGTTTTTGTGCTGTTTTCAATATTTGGGGGGCGGAGACCATGGGGTGCGCGTGGCTCGGGTGGGCAGTCTTATCTTTTTGTCATATTTTGCCTGTTCTGCAAAAGATCACGCTCTCCGGTTTTGACAGTTGAGGGGTCGACTAGCCCGCGTCAGGAAACAGCTGTCTATATTTCGTATATTCCAGGCATTCGTTGCGGGACTCGAACCTCGTAAGTGGAATATCACCTCAATAAAATGTTGGAAATAGTCAACAATTTTTATTTAAAATTTCTTGGAATTGAAGATTTAACAAAATTTAGCTTTCTAGCCGATTTGGTTTCTGTGGAACATTATTCACAATTTCCTATTAACCATAATTTATCCTATTACTTTTTACACTTGTTATTTGAGCAAAAACGTACCAGCATGACTCCCGTATATTCTAACGGTGTTTTTTACATTGCCCAACCGCCAACCCCACCCGCTAATAGCCGAGCTTTCGTGTTTACACTCCGGACTTCCAAATTTAGCGCTTCAAACACCTCGCAGAGATCAGGTGACGCCGAGTAAACAGCCCTCAAAAGTTCTGCCTTTCCGAAGGTGAACCTTTTGACGATAAATGACCCTAGAGTTCCAGTTTATTGGATGACTAATCTCTATAATAATTATCGCTAATTGAATTGATGTTTGAATCGTTTCGCCTTTAAGAATCCAGGGTTTCGTTCTTTAAAATAGCTTTGAAAGGTTTCCGATCCCCCAGTAATCCCTTGTAACAAAAATTCTGGTGTTCATTCGTGTTGTTGACATTTCGAAGGATGTTTCTGGGTTTGAGGGATTGGCTTAGAAAGGGGGAAGGCTTCTTGGATGTGAATCCAATTGGGATGTCTTTTGACAGGGCTCTATTTGGTTGGAACGAGAGTAGAAAGAGGGAAAGAAAGAGGGGACGGACATCTTCTTTTTCCTTTTTTTTTCTTAAGATAGGGTGTTATGTCGTATGCGAGGAGGGGTTGATTCATGGAGGGCCCAGGGGTTTTTTGGAAGATGCCCTTTCTGTTTACGGGGGTGTTGGGTTGGGGTTTGGGAGGGCCTGCGCTCTGCCACCAACCCTGCTCTGCACAATGACCGCTGCTCCAATATCCACAAATGCTCCGGGACGAGTCCTTCTTTTTTATGGGAACGGGATGCAGCTTTTCCTATTTTATTTTGCGTTTTTTTTCTATATTTATAGAGACCGGATTATTTCTAATATAAACCTCCTTTAATATGGTGCCGTATCCTTGTGCATTTTCTCGAAATTTTTATAGAGGTCCAAGAAAATTTAAACAATGTCATTATAATTATTCGCATCCTGCTCTTATTATTAGCGATTTTAACCGGCTTTAAGTTATCAAAAGTGATCGAATGGGCCGATTTTATCTCGTAAGGTTGGCAAAAAATCTAAGCTGTTGTCCCTAGATTGGAATTACCTTCCGCTCTGATAAAATAACAATTTTTGGATAAAAATTTCTATGAAAATTTATGATATCATACCTAATTATAATTATGATTCAGCGAATGATTCTGATTAAAACTCAAAACTCTTAATATTTTCAACCCACTTTCCCTATTTCCCATCAAACTTTTTGCCCTGATTTGCCCTGACAGTTCGCAAATACTTCGGGCCTCATCATTCATGACAGGATTTTTTTGTTTTGACCCCACGCCCACCGACCAGAACACAGCCTGGCCCCCTTTTTTCGGACAATTTCGTGTGGCGAAACCCGGAGATCACTGACGGTTTTTGGTTTAATTTCCGGCAGATGATAATAAAATAAGCAAAAACCAAACGTTTGAAATACTGCTTTAATTTGTCATGTTATTCTCATTTCCCTACGATGAGTTTGGCTAGCTATCCTTATCAAGCCCACGATGTTTGCCTTTCCAAAAACGAAAATGTGAACAACACGAAACCGGTGAGATCGGGTTAGGGGCCAACTGTCAAGATTGCTATGATAAGGCATGCCTTTTTGAGAGCTGCTTGTTGCCAACGAAAGACCAAAACAATCTGGTGAAGCATTGGAACAGCGCCGAAAACATTAGAAACGTGCAAGTTTTTAGCATCGATCTTGAAATTATTAGGTTCTATTGCTGGATTTGCACTTTTACGAGGTTGCGACAATTCGTGTGTAGGGAGAATCAGATAAATGAAATTGCTAAAATAGATATTCGGCTGGATTTTTGTCTTTTGCCATTCTCTCATCTGTGCATTGTTCAGGAGAGCTGCTTTTTGTTTTTATTGCCAAGGCTTCTCCGAGGGCGGATGGGGGGATTGGGAATGGAATATTCCAAAACATTCCCCAAATAGCCGCACTTCTGGATTCGAAATAGCATCGCTCGGGCGGCTAGTTGGGTATTTATTGGATGGTAGGCTGGCATCTCTTGCCTATTTGTTCTAGTCGAAATTGGGTTGCGATGGACTCACCATGGAGGATCGAGAGCATTTTGTGGGTTTATTTTTGGAGGTTGTTTGAGTTGGATTCTGGGTATGGTATTTCACAGTCAATTGGTGTTTGAATTTGGTTCTAGGAATTGTAATTTCCGGCAGTATGATAATTTAAAATATTGACGATTATTTTGTCTGCACTAAAAGTTCCAAAAGTTGAGTTGCCAGCGCAAGTCTTACGGCATAATCAACTCGAAATAAACTTTTTTTTTTGTGACGTGCTTCTAATTCAGATGCTTAAAGTCCCAAAGATTCATGTGCTTTTTCTCAATTTTCCACTAAGAAGCTTCAAACCCTCATTTTTTGGTTTTTTGCCCCTCGGCCCAAAATCAGCTGTTTTTTCTTGGCAACCATTTTTCATGGGATCGAATCGACTGAAATGCCGTCGATCATTGGTCACCTCTCACCTCGGTGTCACCCAGCAAAAACACAGTGGTGCATCCCCCCACTGTGAGCATCTTCCGCTACCCCTCTTCCTTCCAGGTTGTAACAATAACCCCACAGCCGGAACAATCGTTTTCCTCTCTTTTTTATTGCTTAAAAACGCCGAATTTTAATTGGGTCAAGTCTCCACATTTGGGTACGCGCATATTACAGGAGAAGTGCCAAGCTGACTTCAAAACAGCGGTCCCGAGCCACCACGCTCCCACCGGCATCCAACGCTCGTCGTTGCAGCAATCCTGAGGGTGGCCTTCTAGATCGTGCGTTTCTACCGTAACCCACCCACCGATTTGCATCCCTTCATCAGTTACTGGCTGATTTGTCGACTGTACGCACTAATTTTGTTGGAGTTTTTGTCCTGCACCGATGTACTGTACCTTGAGGTTTTAGCAATTTCACCAACCCTAGCTACAGTTTGTCGAAAGTAAAACATATACTATTTGCGATCTAAAATTTGAAGCTTTTAACAATTAGCAGCGAGAACAGCGTACCTAAAGCAGTAGTGGGGGTAATTTTGTGACCTAATTTTAAAAATAACGAATTTTTGTTATTATAATCTTCAACATCATGCAGATTTTACTTTCTTTTCATAAGCGCTAACCCTTATACCGTGCAAAACAACAGTTTACGCGGGTTAACCCCCCAGAAAAAAGATGACCCCACCTGCAAAAAAGAACCGGTCCCCTCTGCCTCGCTTGGCTACCTGCCAATCCTATTTTTCCAAAGAACGCCCCCCGGACTGTCAAAGTATGGCCGGTGCTAAACCTGTGAAACGCTGCCCTTTCCGCCAGAATCACAACGCGAAAAAGGGTTTATGGGTTGTGAAAGTACAGGGCTGGGAATGAGAGACCCTGATTTGGTTCAAATTTACCGGTTGGGACGCGATAGGGCCTAATATTTTTTAAGAATTTTCGAAGATTTTTTGAGATTATTGCTTTTATTTTTATAATTTTGTTAAAGTCTTTATAAACGGCTCCACAAAAAGAGCATTACCATTGATAAGCCGTCGTGCCGGTCCGGAGGGCGCATTAATTAATGTTAGGATCTGGCTGGATGTTCAGCAATTTTTGCACTAGTAGTAATGTTCGCAAACGGCTTTTATGCCATTGATGTTTTAATAAATCTGATTCCTTAAAAAAATCGGCTGGTTTCTAGAGAATTAGATAATTGTTACTTTTAATTTTGAGATCCTGATTCTTGAAACAATTATTTTGCAAATGAGACCAGTTCCTGCACTCGTGTTATTATTATCCTTCTTCTTAAATAAGATCATAGCTTGATAAAGGTCTAATCTTTATTAAATAAAATTTTACCGGTAAAATAACTTCTTAAATAACACGCGATACCATCTTTCCATTCTTTTTGTTTCACCCTCTAACTTACCCATCCTGCCGTTCCCCTCAACAACCGGGATCCTTCTCCCCCTCTTTCCCTCCTCTCCTCTTCTACCTAAAACATGGCGTAGATGGCCGTATGCACTTTGTGTTTACGAAATTTCACCGCTGGCCCACCCAGATCGGTAGTGGGGAAAGTGGGCAGGGATGGGGGCAGAGAGATGAGGTGCACAATAGAGAAATCAATTGATATATTTTGGCCGGTTGGCAAGATCGATTTCAAAGTTTAAGCTCTTTTTTTGGGGGTTTGTGTGCCTCCCGTTCGGTTGTGGGGTGTGGTGGCTCGGCAAACAAGCCCCGTTGAGGGTGGGGGAGGGGGTCACTTTTTGTTTTTTTTCCTTCTAGAGCAGGATTGTATTTCTGGAGCTCATTTCCGAAAGCGCACCCCTGTCCAACGTTGGTCACCTATGTTGTGTTGCTCGAATTTGTTTGCAACGTGTCGGTGCCATAAATTTTATTTGTTTTAGCGAACATCAGAGGGATGCTGGAAGCCAGTCAAAAGCCATTCAATGTCTACTATCAGCCACCGGAAAGCGGCTATGATTCTGCTACACATTCTGCGGAATCGTCGCGCAGGAATTCGCTGGGATTCAAGGATTTTATGAAGAAGCGCCGTTTTTCGATTGTTGGAAGAGTGAGTTCTTTTATTGTATTTATTTTTACTATTTGTATCAAAAATTTTCTGCTCTTTATAGTTTTAATTCCACAGTCTTTCTTAATTCATTCTAAATTTTAATAAACGCCGCGGGCGTTTCAGGCCACGTTTTCACAGCAGCGTCCACTGTTTCCGGGCTCTGCTCAGGTATTCAATGCCTTTTATTTGTGGTGGCAGGCCCCGGGGCTGGCTTCTCTGCTTTTATATATAGCAATATAGCCGTTCTGTATACTCTCCCCACCTTGGCTACCGTATTGCAAAATCAGAAAAAAATGCGGATGACCCCAAACCGCTCCAAAAATTGTTAAAGCTTTATCATATACTATATACGTCCTGGAGTCATTTCTAAAAATATTTCTGATTTCCGCAATACTACTCAGCCCCCAATAACCCGTCCCTACCTTACCTAATGTCCATTACACACCAATGCTTCTTCATCAATACCTCCCAAAACTACCCCCATTGTTTCCAGCTTCTATCCTCCCGTACATCGTCCAGCGGCGAATCTATCCGACGTACGTCCGAATCCCAGGTCCATCCCTTTTAACATAATTAAATCAAATTTTTAGAATGGAGACTCGCCCGAAGACGAAGACGACCTGTCCCCCAGACCTCTATTCCAGCGGCGGATGAGTGTACCTGAAAAGGTTTTTCACAGTGCTGTAAGTTGGAGTCACTCGTAGCTAGAATGTTTGTGTTTTTTAGGACTATTGCATCCTGCGACCCAGTGAAGAGCCGGACGTGCGCTATGAGATTGTCGCGGCTTTTGGTGGGTCTTCAAAAGGGTTAAGGTTAAAAAACCGACAACAAAAAGTCCGGAATCCCAACACGCAAAATAAAGGATCAAAAGAAACCTTGGCGTCGGTATTAGGGGTGCAAATCGTTTACTACGCTGTCCATCAAATAATCCCAACCTTCACGGATCATTTAAACTCTTGACCTCCCTTTTTTGGCTTGCTTGCCTTTCAAACCCTGCAACCCCTTCCCAGGACCGGTGATCATAAACATATATTGAGAATAGCGCGGCAATGGTGGTTCGGTTTTTTGGCAGCAGTGTTTGGACAGGCTGACCCTCCTCCTCCTCGTCCTCCCCTTCCACTGGCAAAGCTGCTTACCCGTTCCGTTCTGAAACGGAACCGTTTGGCTGGGCCGGCGGGGGATCGCCCTTTCATTCGGCGCCCTCACTTCCCCAATCCACTATGGCCCCCTATTTGTTGCCGTTAAATTCGAGAATTGGCGTTATTACTCGAAGATATACGGTAAATAGCCGACCAGAATCAGCTAGGCGAATTGAGGATGGTAAGGAAGATTCCGCCATTTCTTTGAAAATACGCTACCTAAATTGCCTTTAGGTTTATAACCTTATTTGAAAATAAAAACCCCCAGACCCATATTTTCCAGCCTCACGTTATATTTTCTGATTTCAGACCGTTTCACCGACCCGTACCGCCATTATATGCAAAGCCTCACGTGTTACGACTTAGCCCCCGTTCACTCAGCGGTCGTCGTCATGGATGGCTCGCTTTTGGTATCGCTTTGATCTTTTGGATAAATCGGATTCGTTGCCAGATTCACAAAGCGCTTACCAATCTGCTCGAGTCTGGCCATCAAGCCGCCGTCATCACGAATTTGAATATTAAAAGTGAGTTTGTTTTTCGGGGGTGAAAAATGACTCTTTTGTGGTTAGTGTCAGTGACGGTAGTTTTGTCGTCGCATTTTGTAGGGGAAATGAAGGTAAAGTAACACCTTTCAGGAAAATACCTCGATTAGCCAAGCTTACCCAAGAAAAAGATAGCATTTCTATAGCATAAAGTCCGAATTTTCGAAGTTTTAAGCGGATACCGTCAATCACTAAAATTGGCCAAGAACTTTGGAACGAATTTCAACACCCTAGCACGCCTACCAAAACCTTTTGTTTTCAGATGGTTTCTCGATGCTTACCTTCACCGACTGCCTACAAGCCATCCAACTGGCCACCCAAGGACTGCAGCCGGTAGTGTTTCTTCGTCCCTCCTCAAACATGTGTTTTTCCCAGGTCGCCGAGCAAACAGTCGCCGAATTCATGCAGCACAACAACGGCAAGCAACTGATAACCGCCGATGTGGACACGAGGTATCGAAGAGTGGCCGTCATCGTGGTAATCTGCTTTCTTTAGCATCTGGGATGCGGCGAAGTTGATTTGTCTGAACAGTGTCCATCGTATTCCGGTCATACAGGTATTTCAATTGCATTAAGTCATTTATATAATCATATTAAGAAGGAAGATCCGGATGCTAAGATAGGAGATGTTCTTTATATGCTCACGCTCAAGACGGTCTTTCATGAGACTGTATTACGGCTGGTAGGCTTCATTGAATTTTTCTGACATTTTTAAACACTATAGGAATGATACCCTGTTAATGACTAAAACAAACTTTCAGTCGGACCCCAAATTCGCCCTCGGCCCTCACATCAAACACCGTACCCTCTCCGAGGCCAAAATAGGAACCTGGGACGACCGCCACGAACTTCACACGGTAATTCCGTATCTAATCGCAACCCGGCAGCTTTGTTGCACTTGCAATTTTGGATCCCAACCCTCACCCATCGATGGTTCCAGGATCTTTGTCCCAAATGTGTTTACTGGGGCATTGCCGTGGACCTCTCCCTCTCTCGATCTCTATTTTTCTCACTCTCGCTCAACCCTCCACTTTTTGCAGCACTTTCCCCTCTTCTCCCAATATTCTCTCTTTGGTCGACGACTTGTCCGTCACATGATGTTTTGCACTTCTTTTTTTGCTGGGTGCGAGAACGCGTGCAGTGGTCCTCCAAGGGGATGAGGGTTGCATTTATCAGTGGGCCCTTGAAAATGGTCTGAAATTTTTGGAAAGCCAGAAGTTTAGAGACCCAGGGTGATTTCGAAATTTCTAAAACCAGCAGCGATGTGTTACTTTCCTATTTCCAGGTCGGCGAAGATGCAAAATGCTCACAAGCCATAGAAATGATGATCGAAAAGCGGGTCTCTTGCGTGCCAGTCATCGCCAAGGATAAAAAAGTGGTCGCCGTGTTATGGTACGCGTTCAAAAACCCGAGAAATTGGTGTATTTTAGTAAAACCGATTTAATGGCCGAGCTGCAGGCGCACCCTGAGAATTATTTGCAAATTATGGATACACCAGTTTTGGTAGGAAATTTGGAAAAATAATAGAGAATCGATCTGCTTCAGACTGTAATTGGCAACAAGAAGAGTCCATTCGTTACTCCGACCTCCATGCTATTGGAAGTAAGTTTTTCTTATTTCGGATTGATTTATAGTAATCGTACACAAAAATCGAAAACAGTCTACTAAAGTGATATAGAAAACAGCATAGACAAAATAGGCGAATTAAATAGTTACCTTAAAAAATGTTGTCATTTGGAGCCCCATAGATTATTGAATATTGTTTCGAACTTTATCCAACTTTATTATATATAAATTATATTATACAAATTTTCCAGGTAATTGCTCAACTTGCATCCAGCGAACGTCAATCCCTCTGCGTCGTCAACGTAGATGGTCATCTCCTCGGAATCGTCTCCTACGCCGACCTCATGGACTACATCCAGAATTCTTCGGAAATTCACCACAAAATGAGCTGTACCTAAATGTCGCCAGTTTTGATCCCCATCTCATGTACTCCAAAAACCACCTGCAATATATCCACCCTGATGCACTAATGTACATAAGGACTGTACGTATCCATCCCAATACCCGATCCTCTCCAGCGCACCATGGCATTCCGACTTAGTTTTTCTTGGTTTTCGTTGCCTTTTTTAAAATCTGTACGTATTACTCGTTTTAAACCGTCTAGAGCTTATCCCCAAAACGCAAAAAGTGCCTCAAAAACCCAGTCTCCGGTTTGTACATAGGAGTTTATTGTTTGGTTCCCCTAGAAGGGAATGCACTCGCGAGAACGGTAGCCGTTTTTATGTTTATAATCCTCTTTTTGTGTTTATATAGTCACATAGCAAGCTTTTGCCATAATTCCAGTCCATTTCGATTGTACATTAAGACTATATATATCGGGTTGTGCCCTGATTTCCCCCCATCCCTCCCTCCCGAGTGACAATTCCCCCCGAAACGGTAGCAACACGCAAAGAAACGTATTCTTTCCCTACGGGACCATATTACTGTTTGACCATCTACTTACCAATCGATTGTTAATAAATGTGCTGTATTTAAGTATATTGAGGACAAATTAAGAAAAAGATATGCTTCACAGAGCTCAGACACCACAAAGGAACCGTACAAACATCAAAACTTAAAGGCAACATGTCATCACTTAAATTATGATTTATTTATAAACTCTGTAGTAATAATCTTCTTTCCTGATAAATTTCAATGCCTACAATTTCTTTAATTAGAAACTTCACTATTTATCAATCCGCTATTCATAAATTTTTGGCGTTTAACCAATCGATCCTTAAACAGGTTTAGAGTCAGCAATTTTTGAGAAAATATTTATGGATAACGACTTTAGGACGAATTTGACGGAGCCAATCTTGGGCATTTCCGGCGATTTAAAGCCGATAGTTCTTTTCTGTAAGCTTGAAAACAACGCTTTTTAAACCAATGGGACTGAACCAGTTTTTACAAGGGTTCAACCGACAAGCAGCCCCCTGCCTCCAGCCGTACCCATTCATCTCCCCCAGCGTGACCAAGTCTTTGACCCATCCGGCCCCTACGGACCAACAAAAAAAAGAAAAGCCGATCCCTGGGGTAGGTCTCCACCCACCACAGCGGACATCAATCTTAGACCAAAACTCGGCCCCTTAAAGCCCCTCCGAACCCTAACAACTCCCATCCTTCTTCCCTTAAACTTGGCCCTCTAGACCTTGCGAGCTTCCTCAAAACACTTCTTGCTTTTCGTTAGTACCTACTTCTGTGTTAACACTGCTTTTACAGGATGAAGCCTTATGTACTGATTGCCATCTTTTGTCTATCAACGGTCTTTGCGAGGGCGAAATATCGTGGTTGCTTGAAAGTTGTAGGCCGACTCGTTTGCAACACCAATCCGGCAAAGCAGGGAAATATAACTATATCTATGTACGATTCGGACTGTGGGTTTTTGGCATTAATTGAGTGGTTCGCTGCAAATTTCACTTTAGCTATTTCTAGAGTAAAATGACCCATATATCTAGTAAAACTTTAAATTTGAATGTCTCTAGCACTCAAACAGGCAACGTTTTAGGGCTCTCCAGAAATGACCTAATGGCTGTTGGAACCACCGATGAAAATGGTTTTTACCAGGTAGAGTGATAAATACTATGTGTTCCAAAGGAGTCCCTCCTCTTCGGATCGCCTGAATTTTCCGCCATTCCGAGGCTTATGTAAAGGCGAAAAAATATAATTTTCTCAATCTGTTATTATTCTTTCAACCAGCGCCCAAAACCCGCTTCGCGGGCCTTGGGCGCTGGAATGCGACCTTTGCATGAGAAATTTCAGTTTCCGATAGCTTGGGTCCTTCGGACCCCCTCCCTTCCTCCGACCACACCCGCGCGTGCAACTTGCAAGAATGAGGAAATTTGTATTTTTTGGAATTATGCAAAGTAGCCCTCCCTAGCGCCGGACACACACACAGAGATACATTCCAAAATTATATAAGGTAAGATTTTTTTAAAAGCCTAGTAGTGGGCAAAACCAGAATTAGAATGCAGAGGTTGCATAAATTTGCCATTTTTATGGATTACGCAAGTAGAGATCATTTGATAAATTGTAATTCGGGAACAAAAGTTTTTTGATGCACCCTGTGTGTATCTAGTTCTGGTTTCTTACCTTGTCATAACCATTTCTTCAAGATAACCGGATGCGCGGCCGACTTCTGGCCAATGAAACCTGATCCGTACTTCACATTCGATCATGAATGCCCGGTCGCCTGCCAGCTATGCCCGCAGAGAAATCAGACGGTCCACACTTTCAAGTGAGTCATTGTCAAACTACCCCAAATCTTAACATTATTCTTAGACAAAAGATAGACAAGCGCTATTTGACTCACGGGGTGCACGTCAACGCAACGATCCTCGAGGATATCTTCCTGGCCGAAAATGCAGAACTGGACGCGTTACGAAAGTTTACCCTACCGTCTATCAAGGAAAAAGGGCATTGGGCTCGGTTGGCCAATAGAACTGATTTCCTTGCGCTTAATTATTAATTAACGGCTTGAAATTACGACAGCTTTGATTTGTATGTGCCAATATGTAGTTTCCTGTTGTCAACATATTAGTCAACCGATTTTTAGGTGTTAAATAAATGTTTTATTGTTGGAAAGCAAAACGTTTAAAAAATAGGGGTCGTATAAAGCCAAGTTGGCTTCAACCTCCGTTGAGCAACCTTTGCCTACTACAATGTGGAAATCTTGATCGGCATAAACACGGGTTGATAAATAAAGCAAATGGCAAAGATTTTGTTGTGTATCTTAATATCTTAAAGCGGGCGTTTGGGGAGTTTGGTGTATAGATCGATTTACGCTGAGGGGAGAAAAGCGAGAGAGAGAGAGAGAGAGAGAGAGAGAGAGAGAGAGAGGGATACAGATGCCGATAGGTGTAAATGTCCAACTCCTTGATGCGGAATATCACCCTATTAAGACATTATTTAAATATTTCAAACCGGGTGCCCTTTCGCCTTACCATCATTCAAACCAAATGCACTTTCTTTTTCTGCCGATCGTGCTTCCCACGATCCGGGCCGATGCCTCAGCATTTTCACGGTGCCGCTGAAGAATCATCGCCTCATAGGGGCAATGCGTGGCCCTGGGACGACCTCCCACCCGTTTCCCCTGTACGACATTGTGCTCATTCCCTGCTCTGCAAACCCAACGCTCCCTCTCTGTTATAACTTTTTAAAAGGAGCTCTCCTCATTCGTTTGGACGCTGATACGAAAGGTGAGCTTTTAGGGTCCTCGGGGCTACTTTATGGCCCTCCAAACAGTTATCAAACCCAGTTGGCGGCAGATTAATCTTGTAAAAACCAAAACCAGGTGTAAAAAAAGACGACGCGTTTCATGGAATGGCCATATCAGTGATCGGGTAGGGCGAAACGGGGTTCCCGTGTCCGTCTCCTTTGGACTACCGCAGTCAGCTTCTAAATCACCCGCCCCATCAAGACACACTTTCCAGGACTTTCCAGTCATCTCCTAAACATTCGCTGTGTAAGGAAGTATGAAGTACTTCTTTATATTATCCCCCTATTGATACATGCAAATTGCACATACCCCTTTTTACAGCCCACCTTAGAATTTATTATTATTAGCGACATCTCACATACCTACCGTTTTTTTTACTATGAACTCACCTTGTTTTTGAGCGAAAATATCAAATTTAAATTTAACCCAATTTTAGTTCGGGATGTGGGCCTTACTGTTGTTCACCTCCTTATTCGTCGCCGTCGGCAGCGTGGATCCTCATCGACCGTACTACCCCCGCTGCCTCAACCTGGTCGGCCGTTTCGTCTGCCGCACCGACCCCGAAAAGCACGCCAACATCACAGTGTATTTGTATGATTACGATTGTAAGTGGATTTATATTAACGTAGTTCTTTTAATTTTATCTCTCTCCATTTTTTTTAGCAAAGGAATGCGGTATCAAAAATCATCATCTAAACACCATTAAGGGGGGCTCACCGACGACTATGTCTCTGAGAACCAAACGGACCAGTACGGCCGCTTTGCGGTTTGTACCATCCCAAACATTTTAATGGGATTTCTAGCTACGGGGCTGCGCTTCGGATGGCTTCTTGTTTTTCCGACCGGATCCATATATTGTCGTCCACCACGACTGTCCGAAAAAGCACGATTATTTGCGACAGGGCCATACGTTCAGGTATTTCCATGATGTTTTGCTAATCTCAAATTCGCTGCTAATAGAGTTTTGGGAGATTCATTGACAATAATTTTTCGTAGCTAGGGGGAATCGCTTTTGCTCTTGCTAATTACGTTGTCATATTTGTCATAAAAAAGTTTACAAATTCAATTCGGGTTGACTGAGTTTAACCAGGAGGATTAGTTCGCATGACGGGAAAATGCCAAATTTCCCGTTTTTTAAATTGCTCGCGGCATGCCAAGAGCTACAATAAAACCAAATTGTCCATGCGACGCTTTTAAACGTTTACTATTTACCTATTAAAATAGGTAAATAGCAAATGGCTAGTTTTAAAGGGGTAACGAAGGCCTAGCAGATCAGGGGTCATCTTTTATTGGCAACGAACAAACCGGAAATGCTAATGCAAGAAATGGACAGAGAGTGGGGCGAGGCAGGAGGGAATAGAAAAATTTCTGCTATTTTTAGAAGGAAAGCCCGCTGTATGCTAATTTTTCCTGGGCCTTCCTGATCCCTCTGATCCTAATGTTTTTCAGTGAACATTTGTCTTTCAGAAGATTCATCAGCAAGTCTTACCTCGTCGACTACCGCAAGCTTCACTACGAGGCGCACCTTCACCCCTATTATCTTGACGAATATGATAAGGTCCCAGTAGTGATCATACCAAGCCATGTGCTGGATAAGAGCCGCCCGATCTGGGGCTACCCTGAGCCTGAAGTTCAAGCCGACACTGCTGATCCATATCATGTCCCTGACTATTACCCACCCGCAAATATGGACCCGAAATATGAACGGGAGTCCCGAATTCGCATGATCGATAATCATAAGCGGTGGCTGAAAAAGCAAGCCGAACGTCTGGCTAATGAGGATTGGGACTAAGTGTTCAATCGATCGATTGATTTTGTATGTCTTGTCTTGATAGAGATATTATGCCTATACACAGGACAGGCTAGTTAGGATGCAAAGTACAACCGTCAGAAAATTGTCTTTTGCCGGCCAAATCTTTAATTTTTTACGCTTTGCATCTTAGGTTGTCGACCGTCCGCGTCAATATGCATGACATTTCTACGTAAAAGCCCCATTATTACTGTAACACTTTGAATTTGTTTTGAATTTCGTTTTGAATAAAGGACGACGTGCAAAAAAACCTTAAAACACTCAGAATAATTTATTGCATACGCAAGGCGCTCGGGATATCCGCAGTTTATCACAATTTTCGAGGGAGAGCAACGTTAATTTCGCATTTTCGTAAAGAAGTAACTGAAGTACATGGTAATAATGAGGGCTCAAGAAGATGGGGGTAGGTAGAAATGTAGACAAGACACCGTATCAAATGAAAGAGCGACATTACAGAATTTTCATAGCGCACTACATAATTGCATTCCCATTTGACGCCAATTTGGGGTTTTTTGGTTTGGGCTGTGATGAGGACGGAGATGTAGGATTTGAGGAGGTCATCCATTTTGTAGCCCTAAAAATTGGGTGTTTTGTTCTCAGGTTGCATTTTTTATAGCTTATAAAGCCAACTTACATATTCGGTCTCAAAAGTGAGCCTGGGCGACGAGCCCTTGAGCAAGTTTCCAACCGTTATATTGATATAGGTATTTCCAATTGTCCAGTTTCCAATTTGTGTAAATGGATAATTGGCAATTTGATTCTAAAAATAGTTTATAGAAAAGTATTTTTGGCATTAGCGCATTAGAGGAAATTCATATTTATTAAATACCTTTGTTTCCGGGTGGAACAGCGACACTCCCTGCCGATTAATAGAAACCAAAAGCTGTGTGGGCAATGTCTGATCAGCCGTCTGCTTCACGACAAAGAATGTCGACCCAAATGTCGGCCAATTTCGAATCTTATCGAGGAAAGCAGTTTTTGCGTCCTCGCATGACATCTGCTCGATGCCGCTTGAATAGGCTTGTTTGATGTTCTGAATTAGGCTATAATCATGAAAAATTGACTTTTGTTACCTTCTTCCAGTCGTTACCACTATAGGCCTTTACTAAATCTTGAGGAACAATTTCTGACATCATCAGATGAAGCTGCCCAAATGGAGCCGGCTGGTCAGGTCTAAAAATTTAAATTTAAAACTTAGCGGCCACTTTACCTTGTCCGAGCCCTAAGAATCAGTGCACCAATCGAAACAGCGTCTTGTTTGCTAACTTTGTGATAGCCAGAGAGGTATTTTGGCAGCTCCTAAAATCGATTCGTTAATGTCATTAGTGCGGGGTCACCTGGTGGTAGTGGAAGATAAGATCTGCCATTCGATCTTGTCCGATCTCCACATTCAACCATAATTTTCGCATAAAGTAGACTTGGTAATTCAACGGTACATATGGTCGATCCTGAATTATCTTGTTCTAAAAATTAATTAGAGCTGTACCTTCGTCGCAAAATTTTCTTGGGCCCAATCGGAGAGTTGTCGGATAAAGTCGAAGAAGAATTCATTTTCAGGCACGGACAAAACTACAAACAACGATGTTACCATTTCTTGAAAGCCTACTCTTTTCATCTGTTCGCAAGAACAACGAGAATCCCTCAACACTTCTCAATTTCAAATGTTTCCCGATCCTCTGGCAGAATTCTTTGGCTTTCGTGGAAGAGTCCAGCTCGATTCCCTCATTTGTATGATCCGGGAAGTAGACCTAAAAAATAAAAGCTATTATTTTAAATACTTTAAATACCTTATGCAGAATTTGCACAGTTTTGTTTTGGATTGCCTCAACTTCCACCGAATAAGGCGCAAATTTACGAGCGCCGGCTCTAGAATTTTATTTGGATGATTCATTTATGTTCTAACTCACTTTAGCATTTTATGAACCCGATGGTAGCATTCGTTCGAAATCGAGTTGACCCGTGATTTGAGGAACTGGATCACCTCTTTGTAGAGGCTTTGTGATGGAGGGAATAAACCTGAATACAGTTTCTTTATTTATTTAAATTTTTCAAACCTGTGGCCAGCCAGAACAATTCCCATCCACGTTCTTCGCTCAAAAGAGATGGGTTATGGGTCAATTGTTTCATTAATTGACAGTAACACTCATCCCTCAAGATTTCCTTAACAAATATTTACCTTAAAATTAAGAGAGATGGACTTACATATTTCAAAGGAGCTTTGAAGACCTGGTCGGTAATATCGGTCCCCAATCGACTCCGATGCGTTTGATAATCGCCCATATATTTCATGATAGCGATATAGGAGTTGATTGCTTCGATGGCTGGCTCTTTTCTAAATTATATTCATAGGTTTGTACCTTATATGTATGCTTACCTTCCTTCCAGTTTCTTTAGGAGTGGTTCTCTGATTGGTTCCCTCGAGAATCTCCAGATTTCGCCAGTATTTGGTTCCCGTCTTCGCAGAGTCATGGATCGTTTTACTGGTGTAACAGATCTGAATTTTAATCTGAAGATGCTTTTCATGATTCCTTACTTGAAATTATCAACGGCGAAATTCTCAAGGGTATGTGGCAGATCTCCAGAGCTATGAATGACTGCAATTTGCTTGCCCATGGACGGCTGCATCATCGAGTAGTCAATATTTTTCGGGAACATATCCTGCAGGTATTATTTAATTTATCTTTAAGTTGTCTTCGACTTACCATCACCGCATTTGGGGGTTTGACCAGCGTGGGCAGGACATAGACTTGATCCGCTCCAACAGTACCTTGCTGCCCAGTCCGAGCATTTTCAGCCATTACCACCTAAAATTTGTTAAAAGACTTGTTCTTTTCGTTCCTACCTGCTGTTGCTTCAAAATTGCTCCTGTAGCCCCATTACACAACAGCAACAAATCTCCTTGCTCAAATCCAAGCAAACTGCTTTGTTCTGAACGCCTTCGGTATATCATTCAAGGTCCTAATTTTACCGTTTTCCCGTTGTGATTGTGTAGCTATCAAAAATTTGCTTCGCTCCTTGAGTCCAACCAAGAAATAATCCACAAGTTCTGCGATATCTTCAGCGTTTGGTGATTGGAAGGTGAAGTCATCCCCAGACACAGCACGGATAGTGAAATTATCGGCACCGGTGCGTTTCCCCCTGAAACATTATTGGAACAAAATGGATCGAAATACTTGTTGAAAATAGATGCCGCTACTTCCGGGAAGGAGAATTCTTGTAAAACCTATAAAAAAACTACACCGATTTGATTCTAATTGTACTTGTTCTTCATCATCGACAACATATATCCCAGTATAATTAACGGCAATGATGACTTCATCTCGCGGCAATGGTGGGCCAGCAAATTTGACCGCCTCATAGAATCGGGAGAATAGAAGGGGCCATTTGAATTTGGCGAACGCGACAACATCCTCTTTGACTTGAGAAATAGAGGGTTGTGGAGTGATGTTGAATTTCTAAAAAATAAATTAAAAACCGTATTTTTTGAATACCTTTCGATGGACATTCATAATCAACTGAATCCAGTACTGCTCATTCTTCTCTTGTGAATTCAATACGAAATCTGGGAGATAGCCATTGAGAGCTTTCCTGAGCTTGTCGACATCCATTGCACCCTCATCAACGATGTAATTTTGAGCGGCGACCAGGGCATAGTCTTCGTCCTAATTTACTGTATCCATCGATTATATTCAACATACCTTTTCACATCGATATTCACCAAACTTGACCCCACGGACAATTTGCTGGTAAATAAGGTTGGTGCCAACCGAGTCTTCTTTCGGATTATACCAAGGTGAGAAGATCTCCTTTCGGAAGAATAGTCTCCAAGGGGCATTTCGTTCCTGATTTCCTTGTTCTTTTGCGTATTGTTCACATTGCGAGACCGCATCCAGAACGTGATCACAACCGGAGCCCAACGAAGAAACCTTTAGGGTATATTACTAATCATTTTTTCTGTCTTACCTTGTCAAAGAGGGCTATGTACAAGCTGAAGCCAAATCGATCCTTCAGTTGGACTTTCTCGGCTAGAATCTTGCAGAGTTCAGACGCTGTTGTGGCTGAGTCGGCATGTACGCTTTTAACGCTTCCGTCCATAAAGGTAATGGCTAAGACGATGTCCTTCTTGGCTTTATTTGCCTACAAAAGACACTAAACTGGTCAAATTCAATCTCAAACTTGTAGCTCGACATAGCTAGGCGGCTGGTGTCTAGTTCCGTTCTTTTGGGTCCTCCGTAACCGCTGCTCGATGTAGGCTGCATAGCCGGAATTTCCGGGCCCTTGTTCACGAATGAAGCAGAAGAGGTATTTAATGAATCTTAAGAAATTTGGCATATTTTACCATTTATCGTCCTACCGTTCACTAGGAGCGAAACATCCAACACACAAGCTCATTAAAATCCATCCTCGAGCTTGACTCAATTTCGACGGATTAGTTGATAACTGCTTGCATAGCTGGCAATAGATTTCGTCCCTAAATTTTAAATTTTATAGCATACAGCAGGCGACGCTACCGTAACTCCTCTCGCAAGATCCCCAGCCCGATGATGTAATGTAATTTGTCGAGACTGCTCATCGGCTTATTTTCAAGTAGAGCATTCGAATAGTTCGAGGCGTCCGATCGATCAGATGCATTGGATTCCATTCCTAATCATATTGAAAGCTTAGAAAATCATTTTCGTCCATACCTGTCAATTTGGTCTTCTTTTTCAGAGTCATGGATATCAGTTTCTTTCCCACATTTCGGCTACGAATCTTGTTTGAACCATACTGAATTAAGAATTTATATAAATGAAATGATTGAGGTTACCTGGTCATACTCGCTGGCCATACTTGCTTCTTCCACATCTCTTCGGCTAAACTTTCGGCCAAGCGTTGCGTAAAGCCGCGTCATCACTGGGGTTTTGTCCTGAAATATTCTATATATTCGGAATTTTTGTTTTACTTACATAATTGCCTTCACCATTGATCGATCCAGGCTTTGCATCCGGTAAGTCACCCATAAAACGAAGCATTGTCATCCAGACAGCCAAGCCAGCCTGAAATTTCATGATGTTTTACCCGGTGACTTTATACCGTGGATTAGTTTTCATTCTTTTAAATTTGTAAACTTACCAGTTGACTACCCGGATCATCATTGTACAACAAGGTTTGTTTTAATGGTCTCTTGACATGGGATGAAGTGGCTTGAGCCTAAATTCAAACTTTGTAATATTACAGGCGGTCAGTACCTGGAAATAGGTGGCGGCAAATTTCCCAAATTGATATTTGCTCAAATCTTCGCCATCAAACGGATCATCCATCATAGAAGTGGACGGGCTAGGGGTGGTCGTCACCTAAAAATTCTTTGTTTTGCAGATACGGAAAACTTACTGATGTCCGGGTAAGCGTATTTGATTCGCTTCCAGAGCCATTTTCCGTGTCGGCTGGGAGGTAGTCGAAGAGAGGCTGAAAGCGAGCAAACAAGACTCGAAAAATAAAATTGTGCTTACGATATCTTTCTCCGGTGCGGCCATATTTCCATTAATTTCTGGCTCTGGTGATGGTGGCTTTGCCATCATCGCTGGCCTTCGCTTGCCCTTTGCGCGCATTGCTTTAACTTCATTTCGAACCAATGCTCCACGACAGTGAGCCTGGCGGAGACAGGTTAAAATCAATAGAACCCTGAATTACCTGGAATCGAATAATCGTAGCCCGCAAGCTTTGATAATGTTCTTCGAGGCGTTTGGCACGGAGCCAAGCTTGGAGACGGGTGATGCCGACGATAATCTAAAACAAATAGTTTTGCAGTTTTTATACCTATGTTTGGAATTCATGTGATTTTTATGTATTCTCTAGGGACGCGGCGGTAGCCTAAAAGGGCCCTGGGCCTTTGATGTAATGACCTACCCGGTGGATCCTAATGGGTGGTCCCACCTGTGCAGTAGGTCCAGAAAATGGGTCATAAGAACACAATTTTTGGAGGTTTGCTGAGACAATAATCGCTTCAAATGTTAAAGCAATGCTTGTGATTATTTTAGAAAACGTCATAAAATAATAAAGAAAACTCATACAGATTTTTATTCCATTTTGATCGGCTTTTTTCTACTATGCATGAAAAAAATATTAACAAAATTTAACGTCTTATTGAAAGCAAAATACCAGACTCCCGACCAACCTGTCGATATCTCCTCCGCTGCTCAAATCCTCTCCAAATTTTCTGGATCATTACGGCAGATTGTCGTTGCCGCAAGAATTGCCTTCGAGCCACCCAACCCCGCACTGTCTTTTGTATCGTAATCGCTCTCTCATTCATCATCCGGAAGTACTCCTTAAAATTTAGTTTTCAATAAACAACGCTTTTACACAGCACTCCATTCCACCCACTCGATTTTACCTTTCTTTTTGCGGATGGTAAGGTTATCTGGTACGTGTTAGATGGGTGTTTTATAGAAATAGAGGACTTTTTGCACCAACCTGTTCAAGATACAGATCATGCGCGTCTTTCAGGAACACTTTTGTTTTACCGAGTTGGAAGTCGGCTTTTGGGCCAAGAACCTAAAATAAATATAAACCTTTTTGGTGCGTTTAATATACCTTGAGGCAGATCTTTTTGGCCGCTGAGAAGCAGTCAATACGATGAGCAGGGGCTAGAAATCAGGATAAGTATGCTGCTACTAACGGTTTGACTTACGAATTCCATTGACCAACATGCGATATCGATCCACAAAGTCTTGATAGCCATGTCGAACCGGATAACCAGCTTTCCGAATCTTGATCGTCTCCATCATGCCGGAATACCGTAGTTGCCGAATAACAAGCGTTCGATCCAGATACTAAGATAAGGCTTATGTTTTTTTGGCCCAAGCCATTACCATTGGTTTCTTGAACTCATTTGGCTTGATGCAACGAATGAAGAATGGTTCCGTTTGTTGTAGCGCATTCATCAGCGATTCCAAGGATTTCTTGAATTGCCCACCAACTGTCGCCACCTTTCTCCTGATTGAAATTGCATATCTAATTTAGGAAATTAACATACTTGTTCAAGCCATCAGAATATTCTCCTTCGTCGAACAATCTCATAAGGAAGTTCATTTTTGACGAAGCGACGAGTCCATGCAAATCGGCAGAAAAAGCATCGCGGTTTTTCTCGAGGAACCCTATATATTTTTATTTATTATCATACAAATCTCCAAACCCTTGGTGGAATAATAAACAGCTCCGGCAAAATGGGTAATTCCAAATGCCTTCTCCAAATCCGATTTCGGTTTCAAGTAAAGCCCATCGTTCTTGTTGTGATTTGCGTGGAGTTTTTGGAGCATGGAAACATCAGTGCCCTATATTATCATAAGAATATACAAGCTGCCAGTTACCTTCGGGAAAATGCTTTCTTCGTCGATCAAGCTCATAATATTCATTGGGCGTTGAGCGATGAGGTCAAGCGTTTCCTGGTTGTCCACAAATTGTATGTGTCGCCAGTTGATCTTTTCCTAAAACATGGTTCTTCAATAACTTCCGGTGCAACTCACCAGATCGTATTCCTTTTGCTCCATCTTGAAAATATGACGAACGAAGAATTGCTGTAGGTGTTCATTGGCGTAGTTGATGCACAACTGCTCGAAACTGTTGGTGTCGAAGTTTTCGAAGCCAAAAATATCCAAAACACCGATGGAAATGCGTCGATGGGCTTCAGAGCGGGGCCTAGAGGAATACATTACCCCAGGAATTTTAGCCTCACTTGTAAATAGCGTCATTGATCTTCTGAACGATGTAGACAAAAATTCGGCCATAGACCCCTTTTACAAAAGCGTCACGGGTATCGACAGCTTGTTGCGGGGTTAGGGTTGATATTACACGTTCCTAGAACGTTTATCGTTACCAAAAAAGATCAAGAAACTCGCCTCGCGTGTGACGATAGTTTTTGTTGTCAACGTATCCAACAATACCCGTTCATCAAAGTGCAACAATCGAGCCACCCGCTTCACCAAATTTAAATCGGCCACTTCCACCCCTTCCAAATTATGCGACATCGTCGCTGAAAATTTGTTGTAAGGTTCCATTTCAAAACGCACATCGATATTTGATATTTCCAATATGAAGAAGGGCAGCTAGGATACGGAAAATCGAGCTGACTTCCGGATCTTTGAACATCAACACCTTCATGGCTGATCGGATATCAGCAAAATCAGCCGCATCATCACGGCCATCAGCGATTAGTGTTTTGCCCTAAAACCGTTATAGATCTACGAATCTAGCGTTACTTCATACCTGGGTTAGATAGAAATAATCCGAAGGGGCCGTGAGGTCATATTGCTGCTTCTCTTCAAGCGAAAGTCCGGCTAACAAGCAATAGAAAACGTGATAATTCCGTTCTCCCGGCGATTGGGCGACGATTCTCGACTTCTCCAGCAGGTATTGCTCAATTCTAGCGCCCTCGATTGCACCATGACTGTTGAAATGCACATCAATGTATTTGCCGAAACGTGATGAATTGTCGTTTCGGATTGTCTTTGCATTTCCAAAAGCTTCCAAGATAGGATTGGCTTCAAGGACCTATAACTCTAATTTATAGCCGTTCGATAAAGCGATTACCTGTTGTTCAATCCACGAATGCTGCCCGGAAATGGTGGCCAGGAATTGCAAGACAAGTTTGGTGCTTTCAGTCTTTCCGGCTCCGGATTCACCACTATAAATGAATGAATTAAATGCTCACTAAAAATACCTGATGACAACGCTTTGATTTTTTGAGGAATTTCGCATGTTGGTGTAGGCATTGTCTGCGACAGCAAAAATGTGCGGAGGAAGTTCTCCGATTTTTCGGTGTCTGTACAGGCGGATCTGAAAGTACGGTTTTCATGTCGTTTTTTTGCATTGCTTTAGCCAAATGGCTACTAAAGATTTTTTTTCTTGGTAATCGCATTTAGGGTTATGAGGAAATGGGGTGGGGTTGGGTATCGTTAGAGACCGCAATCCCGACTGCGCGCATAAAATTGTTTACGATCGTAATGGCCTTGGAACGGAGGGGTGGAAAGCGTTTGACGAGGGGATGATTCTAACGAAGTGACTGTATAAACGGCTTGAACGAAGTAAACCCGAAACGCTAACCTGTTCAGGGGTGTAGAGCGGAATATCGACGTACGGATTCACGGCAATTAAAATTGAACCGGTGTAGGTCTAAACTTTTCCCTGGATTTTTGACGAATAAATTTACATACATAGATCAACTTCTCGCGATATCGCACGGAAATGTTGCGAAGAATAGCGGCTTCGTGAAGATCGCCTAGCTGGGTCATGTCTTCCACGCCTTGTACGGACGTCGGGTGCATTAGCTTTACCCGGCGGTCGGAGGAAAGCCATTCTTCCTGAAATAACTTTAACGTCATGAAATCCATCAAAATTTAACGATTCAAATCCCCAATTCCCGTAAATTCTGAAATCCTATTTACCTTTCCGGCGTCATCTACAACCTTCAACTTTCCATGATCAGCGTCGATAACCCGTGCTCCGATTGGCACCGAGCCAGTCCCTTTTGGGGGCTCCACCCAAATAAAATCACCCTAAAATTTGATTATCTTCTGCATCCCAAAGATGCTAACCTTTGTGACGTGTACCATCGATAGGTCCTGATTTCTTAATACTCCATCTGGAACCTATAAAAACGTGAAATTGACGAGAACAGGGGGAGTTTAAGGTCGAAAAATGGCGTATAATCAGAGTATCCCAAGTGGAGAGCGAGTAAATATTGAAGCTATAAACTTCTTTGCACGGCCATTATTGCTCGGGTGATACGGGTGGAATGGAATGCGGGTAAAATCCGTGCTTTAAAGAGGAGATTCTGCAGTGAAATGCAGATTAGATGTTAGGAAGCTGGCTTAAACAAAGGCAAAAAATACAATGAAAGTAATTTTTGAAAATTCAGAGAATAGTTTTACCTTATTTGTTGTTCAATGGTTGAATTAGTAAGCTTACAAAATGAATGCAAAACGATTAGCAAATGACGAGTTGATAAAGACGATGTGGCACGGAATTTAGAGCAACATGGAAACTTTGGCAGTGGAAGCGGACGTTAGCAGATCACCAGAAGAGGACATACAGATATCGAGAACAACAACCCTTGAGATGACGACCTAACATGAAAGTATGCGACGTTTGTCTGTCTGTCCTCCATCCAGTGTATTGGATGGTGATAAGAAAGGCAGCCCTCCCGGCGGCCGCCCGCGGGCGTTTCGAAGCGATTCTCGTGCTCTCTCTCTTCCTCGAGCTCACCAAGAAGTGGGGAATGTGGGTCGGGCGATTGGATATGTCCGATCGGTGGAGAGGATATGCAGTAAGCGGTCGAGACAGACAAGAAGAAACGGGAACACCACAAAGCCCCCCTTCCCCCCACCACAACCACCATCACCATCTCCACCCCCCTCCAAACATCCCCCCTAGCGGACCTTTCCTCTCAATTAGCACAACTTCCCGCCCCGAGTCTCTTTAAGGGCACCGTTTAAAGAACCACTCCTGGATGGGATTCCGGAAAGTAGCATGGTGGTCGTGGAATGGTTTTAAAGACACGGGAAAGGGATTACTATGGATTTCCTAGGTTGCAGTTTCGTAAGGCACATAATTTGCTAAAATATTTGAAACGGATGCTGTAGGAGTGTAAAAAATAATCCACACATAAAACATTGCCAGGTCTTGTTGGTTTTTGAAAGGGATCAGGGAAGCCCGGATAAATTAAGCATAAATACGTTCAACTTCAAAATTAGCATAAAACGTTGCTGATCCCTGTCATTTCCGGTTGGCAACTTTCCAATTATAGAAGACCGCGGATCTACGCGGGCCTTCCTGATCCCTTTAAGAAGACGGGCAATGTAATTTTCAGGATGAACTTTTTATTATTCCAAATTCTTCGAAATTGTCCCTGGCAGCAGCAGCAATGCACTGACCTGCAATCCCGAAACCCTGCCCTGCTCCGGAAAATCGGACCGTTAATCAATTCCCGGGCGCTTTTGATGGGATTAACTGATGAGAGGCGACGGAATGAGATGTTTCTATCAATACAAAGCAACAGAATGGACATAATTGGACTAAGCCAACCAAGAAACTAAAGTTGCGCCAGCATACGAAAAGTGAGAACTGAAAGTGATGATTCGGAATTAAAATCAAGGACTAGACCACATTCTATTGGTGTTGACAGGAATGTGTGGCAGAATATTGTCAAGTTGCTGATCGGGAAAGAAAGTTGGGGGGACGGCGTGTGCAATCTCGGGGCGATGACAGGGGCTGGATCGGAAGGCTGGCCGGGCGGAAATACCGTGTCAGAACGGATCGCCGCGCCCCGGCCGATAGCCAAAATGCCGAAAAAATGTGTCGACGGTTTCAAAGGTTTTTCTCGGAGGAGGTAGATATTATTCTAAAGGTGCGGCGAAGGGATTCCTTGAAGTAGGGTTCTAATAAGCGGGGGAGCGATAGGGCAAAATCCCAAAAAAAAATCAAAAGAGAAAATCGATCGATTTGGACCAAGTACATAGGTTTGAAGCGGCTCAAGAAGAATATTGTTGAGTCTAATATTGCATAAGCATTTTGCATAAATTGGGAGGCGCAATAAAATTTTTAGCATAGAACTACAATTCTACTCTTTTTAATTGCCAAGGAACTTACAAGACCAAACAAATATCCTAAGCTTTCTGAGGCCAGATTGTCATCAAAAAAGCCTCAAGCAAACCACTGAAACATTCCTTTCCATCCTGCGCCCCTACAAAAAAAAACCCCAGAAGAAACGAAGAGCAGAGGAGTTGCTCGTTCAGACCTTCCGCGGTCAAGACAAAACAGTCCCCACTACATTGTTTGGGCTAAGCGGGCTGTGCAAACATCTTTATACAAAAAAGTAAGGTCCTCCTCCCAACCGTTTCGCGTCTTCAAAAGGAGCCGCTTCAAGGTCAACCATGCTTTTTAAAGGGTTTTGGATTTTGGGTGGGTGGGTTGGGGTTACGGGGGAAAAGGAATAATAAGGCCTTTGGAGGTGGAGAGCCAGGTATGGCACAAATATCCCCTTCATCGTGTACATAGCCTGACGGGTTCAGATTACTTGGGTCAATTATTGCGCATGACTCAAAGGAGGGGATTCAAGTATGGCTTTCGGGGAATTTAAGAAGTGAAAATTTACGTGGAATAAGTTAATTTTCGGAAATATTGAAGTGTTATGATCATTATATATCTAACTTTCGTAACTAAAAAGTCAAACCTCAAAAGAAATTTCACTAACGTAAAAATAAAAAGCTATCAAATACATCGATTACTTTATCTATTTTCATTAATCGACATCAAGCATTCAAAACGATAAACTTAAAAAACGAATCGTAGTTTATAGAAAGATCCAGCCGTAGCTAACCAAAAATTCCGAACCCGGTAATAAAAAGCCCCAAACCATCGCGCCGGTGCAAATACGAGAACGCGCTCACAAATCGATAAGCATGTAAACTTGAAGGCCGATAAGGAATTCGGGCAAAGGGGGGCAAAACTAATTTTTGGCTTAGTCTGAATTCTTTTCTGATGAGTCTTAGGGGTCGTGATAAGCAGGCTGTTCCGCCGATTTTTTGGTCAGGTTTAATTTAGCCGGGCGGAGACTCTCATTCTTTAGGTTTCGTTAGAGTACTTCATGGTGCAGAAATGAACACGGCGTTTGGTAAACGTGTTCGTTGGTGTGAATTGGACGCAATAAATAAATGTAATAAAAATTGGAAGTGATGAGCCTCACTGGTAGGTTAACTTCCAATTCAGGAGGTTGAGGATCACAAAATAGCCCCGTTTAATGGATTAGCATGTCTTTTTCAATTTGTTTAATTGTTATAATGTCTAAGATGCTTTTCCGGGAAAACAGCTATTTATCGATTGATAGAACTCCGTAGTTGGCAGCTGCAGTTAAACAAAGCAAAAACTTGTAGAAACTATCAGTAAAAAAACAATAAACACTGCATTAGCTGTATGTACAAGTCGAGACATGCCCTGACTCATTTTTAAAAAAGGTGCGGAAAGGCTGATCGGAAGCCCCGACGGGGGGAGAAGCTGGAATCTGCTCTCCCCCCAGGGGTTCGCGGTGTCCGGGAGGGGACAAGGAGGGGGATGGTTTGTCGTAGGCCCAGAGGAACCGAAGGAAGGGCGAGGTAGAAGGAGGCTTCTGCTCTCAGGGGTTCCCTCAGCTTTTGATGCGCCTTGTCTAACGAGCTAGTGGGCAAATAAGGTCGGAGGGAAGGGCCTGAACCCCCCCAGAGGGGGCCCAAGAAGACTGTGGGTCGGGACGGGACCTCCCAGTCCGTCGGACACCTCCTTCCAACACCCGGGCATACAGACACACACAAACACACACAACGCACAATATCCTCAACGCTCTCCATCCAGAACCATCCGGCCTTCTTCTCTTGGCTCTTCCATCATCCCTGGAGAACAAAACATCCGCCATGCGGAATTGACGATGGATACAGAAAGTGCGGTGGAATGAAAATGATGAAGGTGTAGATATCAAAGAAGCCTGTATTTTATGCTAGGCCTAGACAGAACCAAGTTTTTCCTCAAATTGTTGTTTTGGTAAGACTTTACTTTACCCCCCCTCAGCTGAAGGGTCTCAAAGTTTTCGGTATTTTCGCTTATTTTGACGGGCTTTTTGCAACACATTCGATTAATATATACTTAAAAGTTATATTGTTTATATATTAAAATATTATTATTTATTGATCAAAATATACTAGTGCTTCGAAAAATTAACTAAGAGTCTTAATTTGAGCCTACAATAATGTAAAATAAAAAAGTTATAGCCAAAACATTCCGGCTGGGGGGGTGAAGTAAAGTGTAGCCGTTGCTTTTGATTGTTTCACTAAATTCGAAAACCCAGCTTTTGTTAAAACTACTCCAAAACCAGTCATCCCTTCACACGGCCCATAAGGCCCATACTCGCCCTCTCCCCCTCCGGCCTGTTGTCGTCGCAAGGGCCCACCCCAAGCCCCCAAAGGGCCCACAACGGCTAACGGATCTAAGGACAATTTTTTGTGGGGCCCACCTCGTCACCAGGCAACTCACACCACGCTTCCAACCCCAAAAAACACTTCTCCATCTTGGGTGCTTTACTAAAATGGCACCAACCGTACAGTTACATCATGCTCGTAGCTATATACGAACGCCGACCGGATTGATTCATGTGCTTTGCATTGTAGGTTAATTTGCATAAGTTATAATGTATAGTTAATAAATATCATCCAATATAAAAACAAGGGTCAACCGTGGCTGCATTAATATAGAAATCTGGACTAATATAAGGATAGGTTTTCAATATATATATTTTTAATTTACTAACTGATTTTACTTAGCAAATTGCATTCGCATTAAAAACGGTCCAAATAGCTTTTAGTTTGTAAATCTTGGCACACTATTGGGTTGCGGATTGCGATGGACACAAGAAGGAGACGTATACGTCCAGGTAAACATAAAAATAAATCAATTTACAGTTTCAGTTAATATTTGCCGAATTTGTATGGCAAACCTTTGTTATGATTTGCCTCTTCATCTCTTTCTTCATAAGCATGGTCCTCTTTATGTCAAAAATTGCCAATCCTACTTCAATGTTTGCGAGGATAACCAATAAAATGGTAACTAATATCGCACTATTTAAATTGTGAAGTATTCAGGCAATAGCATTGGTTATGTTTTGCATAGTCATCGCCGGTTTGGTGTTTGTTATCGAGCTATGGTATATTACATCCGGCCGTAATTCATATACAAAAATGTACAAAAGAATTGTGGTTGTTATGGTAAGTATCTTGGATTATTCTTATAAAACACTTTCAGGTGATGGCTTTAATAATGCTAGTCCTATTGGCGGTGTTGGTATGCTTTCTGATGATGCCGATCTCCTCGAGTATTTCTCCAAGACCAGAGCCTCCAGCTCCACAACCTGTACGACATCATGAGCTCCCACCGTATTCCCAGAATGCTCCAAAAAGTACTAATCCATTTGATGAGACGAGCCCGAGAATTGAATAAACCTTTTTTCAGTTACCGACCTACATTTTCAAGCCAACAAATATCATCGTCAAATAGTTTGAAAACTTTTAATGATTTGGCCGTATTGTTGTAATAATATGCAAAAATCGTATTCGCAATGGGTTTGTGGGATGTGAATAACCCTGCCGTTTCGGGGAGAGGCGAAACAAAAAGATCGAGGTGTAAACCGGGGCTCTATAAAATTTCTCTTTTGTTAATCTTCCCTTTTTGTTGTTTACAGGATTTTCATAGAATTCCAAAAACAAAGATTTTTACAGAAACTACCTAAAAATTGGGTGCGCTTAAAACCATTGCTTACAGTTGTTTATGACCCGGCTGATTCCGTCCCCCAATTTGTCATATGGTCATCAATCAAAGGGTCATATTTCACCGATTGGTACCATATGAGTACCCCTTAGAGTTGCCGTTTAGCCAGTCCTTCCTTCCGAAAACCTTTAAACGGACCCTTCCGTCGATTTGATCGGGTCATCGATGGATGGTAGCCAAATGTCAGCGGAAAAAGGCGAGCCCCATCCTCCCGGAGCAGAGGGCACACCGTTTCACAGCCCTTGGCATCCATTAGCCCATCCCTCTGAATCATCTTTTCTAGAACGGAACACTTTTGGCGGTTGTTTTCGTAGTTTTTTTTCATCGGAGTGATCGGTTCATGCAATATTTCTAAGGGAACTCTTCTGGAGATATTTACTACGTTACCCTACCAAACAGCAAAATTATTCTAAAAAGTTCTCAAAACTTCCGGCCCCAAAATTTTGCTGCCTTTCATTATTAAAAAAAATTTTATTTTTTCACTTTTTGACGCTATGATACCCTTTCCAGAACCCTCAACGCAGCCCATCATTCAAACGACACTATCGAACAGAAGCCTCGAAAGCTAAGGTAAGTTATTTTCGACAATCCGGTGTCGGCAAACAGTGCTTATACATTCCCTCCAAATAAAACCTAATTTCTTCAAAAATTATTAAACATTTTGCAGGAATCCCAGCCCAAATACAAGGTGCATCCCACGCAACGGCGCTGGATTCCTCAAAACCCCCGGCAAGTTGTCTTGAGCTCCAGTAGTAAAGAAACGAGCCCGTGGTAGAAAAAAACGGCTAGAAAAATAATGCCTAATATGGATCCTCCCAATCGGTGGATCGATCACCCCTTGGCAGGGCATGTTCATGTCCAAAGCCCCTGGACTGAAGCAGAGTACAAAGCTCTCAGAATCGACACGAACTTCGATCACCTTCGAATTCTGACCGTCGGCGATTACCGCAGAATTGACGATTGCTCTCAAATTCATGGCATAACTGCCCATCGCCGCGGCAATAACGCAAAAATTCCGATCACCGGAATCCCACGACTTCCGGATATTGTTCATTTTCGGAGCCATGCTCAGACGGTCCTGGCGCACTACATTGCGCAACCCGACGCCCCTCCGGCTGTAATACCCGGACCAAATGTCATTGGCGATAACGTGACGATCCTCAAGCCTCCATACAGCAAAACCCTGCCCATGCTGTATAGGATCATTCAAATGAGAGGCAATCGCACGGTATTGCTCGAATCAATGATCTTTGAGTTGTTCTACAAACGAGAAGAGTTGAGATTTATCACATTGGACAAGGATTCTTGGAATCGAACCGGAGGAGTGAGGGGTGTCGTGCTTCCGAAATGCAGCATCGGAGATTTGGTATGGGTATACAACCTGACCTGCCAACATGTTGGCCATGTGCCGAGAGACATGCAAAAAAGCCTGGAAGATGCCGGCAAACGAGGTGTTTGCGTCGAAGAATTGGCCCCAGTTTTCCGAGCCCTGGAATTCGATCTCATCACACCTAGCTGTAGACCGCCCGTCTGGTGCTATGTCGTCAAAACTTGGAAGTCAACGGCCCAAATTGCGATAAGCGGTGAAGCTAAGCACTGTGAAATCACATGTGCGAATAACCAAGGGCATAGAATTGACACGGAGGGCGAGATCCTAGAGTGCCGACCGAGAATGGATACACCAGCCTCCTTCTATCTGGCTACTACTCCAATCAAAGGAAACGACCCATATATTATCAGGATCATCAGAGAGACAGAACCGACTCTACCAAACAACCAGGCACCCCGTCCCACTTGGATCGGTCCCGCCCCTGACGGCATAAAAGCTCAAGTCTCGGACCAATTAAATAGGTTCACCGCGTATCGCGACAATCATCGCATCGCAATGGAAATCATGAGGCAGCGTCTGTTATTGGCAACATCTTACCACGAGGTTTGTGAGACCAACAAGCAGGATCGTCAACGACGAAACGCTATTTTCGTGATAAAGAGAGACCGAGAAAATCAGAGGATCGTGAGGTTTCAGTTCGAGATCAATGGAAAGGTGAGCGCTGAAGGATGGCATCCTGGAAGCAAAATTGTGATGAGCTTGTCGGTTCCAAAAATGTTCATCTTTGGAAATGTGACTTCCTGTGACCGCAGCGACGATGATGAGCCGCAAACAGCCAAATTTGAAGCCCTTCCCCTTGAGTGTGAGCTCGATCGCCTAGCCCGATTCGATGATGGGAGTGAGCACCACGGAACAGCTTATTTGATGCCATCTGCGCGCCCTAAGTCCTGGATCATATCTACACTTGAGCGCGGCTTTGATCATTTGAGACCCACCGATTTCGCCTATCAAGCATTCGATGCTATGTACTCAGCACAACGTGGAGCCGCATTTTACGACCAGATCCCGGTCACGCAGTTTGAAGAACCCGCAGGAGAAATCCCGAGGACTTTTCGGAGAAAGGGACATGAAATCCAGATGACGAATGAGCAGAGGCAGGCCATTGATCTATTATCCGGAGACTACCAAACTGGAGCTGTATTCTCCCCCTTTGGAGCCGGGAAGACGGCGATAATCGGCGTGGCCGCACAATATCGCGCATCATTGTCCGACGGAACCACTCTGTTAATTGCGAGCACCAACAATGCTCTGACCGAGGCAATCGATGCCTTCCTCGAGACATCGATCTCCGAGGCAAAAAGGGAATATTTTGTCCACCACCATCTGGCAGATGGAGTTTTCAATGCCAGGGAGTCCATGGGCACTATGACTAACCTTGCTGAACAGACATGCGTGGACCCGGAGACAGATATGTGCGATGCTCTTTTCCTTCGAGAATTTGTCGAAAATCGGCATCTATTAAAGCTATATTTGCAAGGCCAGCTCGACCTCCCTGAGAGTGTCGAAGAAGCGGAGAGGGTGATGATCGATATTGAGTACCCCAGCAAGCACATCAAGCGGGTATATGAATTATTATGCCACTACCGTCCAGCCAGCGTTCTTGGCTTAACATTTGGGAGCCTAAACGGATTGTTAAAAGGACTTTTCAAGGAGCATCTCGACTCGATCAGCAGCATAATAGTGGAAGAGGCATCAGATGTGTCAGAGGCAGGGCTTGTAGCCCTGCATTGTCTTTTCCCTAATGCTAATATCTATTTGGTTGGAGATATCCGTCAGAGCCAACCTTACACAATGATAAGGTCAGAAGATCCCATCCATCCCTGGGCCATGCGACCAGCGTTGACCGTCGCTTTGAACTCGGATCTGGTGCCAAACGTTGTGCTCACGACCACTTATAGATCACATCCGGCAATTACGGACGTTGTCAGAACGATGTTCTATCGCAACTCCTTCACGACACCGATTCGTGAGGCGGATCGCATCCTTTTCACCCGAAGGACGGGATTACCAATCGTATTTGTGCTCTATCCTGGCACTGATCACCGGACGCATAGTGGAAGCAGAAGAAGCCTAGATGAAGCTAAGCTGGCCATGCGTCTTGTGATACCACTCCTTACGCATTTCCCTGCCGATCAGTTGCTTCTGATCAGCTACTACAAGTCACAACGCACACTTATTGAAAGGATGATCAAGGAGAACCAAGCGATCCCGAATAAGCCAAGATTCGCAACGATTGGAAGGGATCCGGGAAGTCAGGCGGAAGTAGCGATTGTATTGACGACTTACTCGGGAAAACGTAACGGAAGTGCGTATTTCAATTCCCGGCATAGGGCATGCTTCGCGTTGACAAGAGCTCGTCAAGGGATTGTGGTCCTTGGTACCAGCATGAGCCTTGAATGCGGCCCATGGGGGGCTCTCTTTGACTTGGCACGTCTGAGAGGTTGGGTGATGGACATCGATGCTTTGATCGGGATGCTGTAGTGGTATGTAGCTTTTCAAATACTAATAATTAATTTGGTTCGAGGTCTGGGGGAAACTTTGCTCATCGCTAAACGTTTGAATACAGCTAAAAATTATAAGATTTATAATTAGAATTATACGTGCAGTTCAAATCGAACATTTTCAGTGACTGCCACTTCTCGGCACACCCTTGTCGATGGCTGAATATGACAATTAGTAAGAATTATTGAGAGTCGTTTTCAAAGGAATGATTTTTGGAAATTTCGGCAATTTAGAAAAAATCCAGAATGTTTTTGGCCTTTGTCTTCAAATTAATTTGCCGATTATGCAATATAAAATAGAATCATATTGCACGGTAAACAACTTATTTTTTTAGTTGACGACAACTCTTCCTCTCCCTTTTCAATGGCTGGTGCTGCAGCAGAACCTTGCTAAAAACCACTAAAAAGCCAATCATTTTGCATGCAATAAACCCGCGTTGTTAACTGTTCATTTTTCAGTAAACTACATTTAACAATTCATCCTTAGCGTTCAAAAATATTTTCTGTGGGCGCTGTCTTGGGGCGTTGTTGAGATTATCATGCGAATCAAAATATTGGCTCTAGGCTTCACCCGGCTGCGTGCAACTCAGAGATTTCGCGGGGATGGGTCAGTGGAAGTTTCTGTTCGTGCGATGACTATTGTTTGCGAAAAAATCGTCGGGGCAGGCCAAGGAGGTGGAGGGAACGGATTCGTGACCCTTCTCACCCCATGCTGGGAATGCCCTACGTCGGAGAGAACGGCTCCAAAAACAGCTCAAAGACCTGTCTATGGCAGTCTGGAGGATCGTGTTTCTTAAAAATTCACGTCATTCTAGGGATTATTTACGTATTAATTGAATGTAATAAGATGAAAAGATCGGGCTGAACGTCTTGAACTTGTCGGTGGGATTTGAGGGATTTCATGGCTTTATACTAAATTTTATCCTCTCAGTGTCATTAAACGAAGGTTGCGAATTTTCTTTTCTAGTTGATGGCGACTCTCCCTTTTTCGAAATATTTTGTTTAATTAGTATAATATTATTACAATTTCTACGACATCAAGCTTAGGAATAATTATAGGTTTTTATGGTCGTCTTAGAGGCTCGTATCGACAACTAAGGTATCTAAATCTTCTATAACATACCAAAAATTAGCAAACCACCCGATCTCTTCCATACCCACACCAAAAAACAAGCTTATTATTATTCCTGAAGTCAGCAGCCGGGGCCATTACAAGCATCGTTTGCTATTTGCTTTCATCTCCATCCATCCATTCTCTTTTGGCAACCGTTTTGGGGCGGAATATCTTCGTTGGATGGTCACATTTGGACAAATACGGCTCGATAAATAAATCCCCGCCCCACCAAAACGCTTTTGCCGTCCCGAGCTTGGGAGTGTGGGGGGTGGGGGCTTGAAATGGGGAAAAATCTGCACAGATTCCCGGATCTGGGATATTAGCGGTTTTTATTCCGTTTGTTAAGGAATTTCTGGGTAAAGGTTATTGTGGTTTAGTGGAGTTTCGAAATTTTTGGGGCAGATAACATGATTTATTGACTTTTCAAATGGTATTTTGTTTATATTTTTTCGACCTTGTAAGAATATTTAAATCCTTTGATGATCTGATTTTGTGTTTGAATTCTTTTGCTTCTTGGCTGTGTACAATGCAATGATCTTAAGGCCCTACGCCCTGATAAAGGAGCTTCGTGTATTAAGATCAAGAAAAACGTTTTCGAACTTGTTTCTACCTTCAAAATTCATTTTCGCATTTCACAACCTTCGACAAAAAGTTACCCCCGAATTCTAAACGCCTCTTGTTATATGTCGTTTCTGTAGATGTCGAATCGGTCTTCTCCAGCCTTTTTCTCATCGATCCATGGCTGTGCCGTGGGGAACATCGGAAAGCGATTGCCCCGGCCATTTCCCCCCGTTTCGACCGCTTCATCCCCCTAGCCGACCGACCGTTGACCGCTATCCAATTTTGATGTCGTTTTGCAGCCCCCGCTTTTGCCCTCCAAACTCGACGCCCCGGGATGGGCTCATATTTTTTTGCCAACAGTTATTGATTCTCGGAGTTTTTTGTGGAGTCTCTCTTTTGGACTTACACGTTGGAATTCAGGGGGCTTTTGATGCCGATTGAGGCTTGTGGTAGCTATTGACGGGAATATCCTTTTTCGGATTTTACTTTGATTTCTCAGATTTTCGTCTGGACGACAGGCTAACAAGGAGTCGTTTTTGGGTGATATTGGAGTTTTTGGACGAGACCTAGCTAGTTCGATAGAGAAAAAAATTCTGAACAAGATGTCGGTTTCCAAATCTGCTAACCGTATACTGTATTCAATAAAAATTAATTTTAATGAAAAAATTCCTGGACGTCAGGCTGCGACCCATGGATCAGGCCCGGGACATAGCCCACAGCGCGAACCAGCATCCGCATGAGATGGTGGCCTAGTGGATAGTGCCGGCGCCTATCAAACTTTTGCAAAATTATGCCCAGGGTTCGGAACTTATTGTGATTTATTGTTTTGCTTTTTGGTTTTTCATGCCATTGAAATCGAATTTGGCATTATCGAGCAAAAAGCAAAAGAGTTTTACTAGCGAGGAGTCGAACCCGCTGGCAAAAAAAAAGACAAAAACTTATGAAGCAAGCGCACTACCAATAGGCCAGCTGGTCATGGCTGGAGGGAGGCCTATAGGGGGCTATGTTGACGCGCACCCAGAGCGCAGAATCTGCGGATCAGGCGTAAAATGATGGTTAGATTAATGATTTTCAAATTAATTTTTATTGAACAGCGTACACGGTTAGCAGATTTGGAAAACGACATCTTGTTCAGAATTTTTTTCTCTATCGAACTAGCTAGGTCTCGTTCAAAAACTCCAATATCACCTAAAAACGACTCCTTGTAAGATTTCTTATTCCTGGATCCTTATGGTTATTTTCTTTTAATCTTACCATTCTCTCGGCCGCTATCTCTCGTCTCTCTCTCTCTCTCACTCTATGTCCCTTGCTCTCCCTCTCTCCCGCATTTTCTATCTCCCTATTCTAGACATCTATAGCATATTTTCTCAATTTTAAAATAATTTAACCTGCTCTACTTTCCTTTCATGTAGACAATAGAGGTCATCCCGTTCCTGAATTTTATTACTATAAAGCTCTTATTCGGCTGCATTTTCCCATTTTTTCTTTTCTCGCAATCTGCCCAGCCTACTCCACAATTCCCCATTGATTTAATTCTCCCCCAACATTCCACGCGGCCAAAACCATCTGCTCCCATTCGCTTAAAAACTACCCCCAAATTCCGGGAACAAAATCCCCATAGACGCGAACTCGAAACTGTTCGCTTGCTCTAGCAGTAACTGGACAAAAACCGTTCCAAAATTTAATCTGCTCGTTACACGGCATTGCGCGGCCAACCCCCGGCTCCAACATTGATTAGCCGCCTTTTTTCGATGACGCTTCTGGTGATGGCCCGAAATAAACCGGCAACAAGAGTCAAACCACTTTGTCGTGTAACCCGGAACGAGTCTCCCCACAATCGTTTGCCAGACGAATAAAACCGACGCGGGCAAATGTCCCCCGCGTCTGGGAGCCTATTTCGAAAGTTTTCGGCTCGATGACTGCATCCGAATCGCCAGCGTTTTTTTTTTGGTGTCGAAACCTCTTAGTTAGGATTTTTAAGCTATCCCGGTATCGTAGAGGTACCGGTAGAAGAATCTTCCCGTTTGACAATTTAGCTGCAAATACTCTCTTTATTTTCCAGTCTTAGGTCCTAAGACAAAAATTTTACCTTCCGTATGATAGGTCCTCATATGTACAACGGCCGTGAGATATGTAAAAATTTTTTAAAAATTCCGGTTTTGATTTTTAAACTAAATTTTATCTCAAAAATCGGTTACCGATCTTTGTTCGGCCATATCCGAAAGTGCGCTAGTGATATCAAAAAAAAGCAAAAAAGCCATCATTGCAACAGTTGTATCTAAATTGAATATTATATAGATACCAGACGACTCTAGCTTTAAAAGGCCGTGAAGCGGTGTTTTTGAGTTCTGGTCCAAAGTTAATTCTGGAGCAGCCAGTGTCACGTCCTAGACAAAACATTAATGAAAACGCCTTGTTTCCTCCTCCCAAGCGATCTCTCAACGCGAAGCCAGAATCGTTCTCGTTTTCCGGCTTCTAAAATGGATACTCTGATGTATTTCTTGTATAAAATAGATGCAATGGGAGCCCTCGAACGTGGGATATCACTGGCTGGCCCATTGTCTATGAAACAGACTGGCGGAGGTAGATATATTTTTTAACGAAAGATTGCAATATTATTTTAGCCCTCACTTATCTACGCGTGAAAAAACGATATTACTTTGCTCTGGATGAGATCAGCCACAAGATTTTGTACTACAAAGATGAGGCGGATTTTATAAAGGTATTTTTCTGGTTTTTGTTCGCTATACGATGAATTTTCAGAAGAAAGAGCCGATTGGGGACATTGAGTTGAACCAGGTCGTCTTCACTACATCGGATTCGAACTGCAAGATTTTTTATATACAGTAAGATCCACTTTTTGTCGTACAAACGTGTTTAGTAATTCTGGGAAGCGATGGGAGATAGAGGCGGACAACGAGAAGAGTTGTCAATGTTGGCTAGAGGCGTTGTCTAGGCGAAAGGGGTTGCCTGGAGCTGAGGTTAGGACGAATTAGATATGTTAATTTTGGATTTAGCATCAGATTATACCCAATCATTTTCATCGGTATGCTTGGAAGAAGTCGAGGAGTCATTCATTGCCGGTGGGTTCAAAATTTTTCCGGGAGCTACGGAACCTTGAAATCAGCGTGTTTTTTCTACCAACAATAAGTTATATGTTAGTAATTTGATCTAATACACCGATATAGCAAGAATATGTTCAATTAAATTGACGCAACCGTCCAATAGGGATAATTTTACAACCATAGATTCTTGTCTTCATGATTCGCTATGTAGAAATCCGCAGATTTCTTCATTTACGCTTTTAAAGCCATTTTGACATTCGATATCGTTATCACACCTATTTACAAACAATACAAATATTTCCCAACTTCTCTATCCATTCCATTTTATAGACACGGAACCAACATTGCTCGCAGATCCTTTGTTTCAACCCCATCTCCCCGGCGTAAACTCACGGGACGTCATCTGAATCCCCCGCAATTGTGTCAATATCACCGCTGCCACCCGCGCGCTCATTTCATTTCTTTCTCTTTATGTATATATCCATCTAATAAAAACATTCTCCACGGGACCTAGGCGCGAACAGACAGTCTCTAGCCTTCTGTCAGCCCCAAAAAATTTGCGGCGTCCCGCTATCAAAACCAATATTTCCCCCACTCAATATCTGGGGGTTGAGCCCCCCCCCCCCATACATTGCATTCCACTCAAAATTGGAAATGTATCTCTCATTCGCGGATATTTTTTGAACTTCACGAACTTTGCTTCAATAATTCCCCTTTTTTTTTTATTTTAGAGCGAAACCGATTTGGTTAACAAGCGAAACGGTGGGCTGAACGCTGAAGACGCTTGTTCGCCCAGGAAATGTTCGTTTTTCTTGTTTTGGGAATCGGAAATCGATGGTGGGGGTGTCACCGTTTTTTGTCTCAGAGCTTTTCAGTGTGTGCTGATCGCTTTGGACCTGAAACCCTTGAATGCAACAATTTTTTAAGATTCTTGCAACGAAGTTCGCGGCGACGATTCTGAAGATTCAACGTTCGCGCTGTCGGTCCTCGAGGAGAAGCTGCGTCGGATTGGGGCGATCGGGTGGAACGATACGTCGAGTGAGGGTGGTAGTGAATGTACAACTACTGAGGAACCACCGGTATGTATAGTACTTTAATATAACAAAATTAAACGGAGATATTCAACAATTAATCTATTTAAGTCAATTTTCTAGGTGATCGTTCCCGCGGCCCCAATCTGGCTTGATGAATGGGTTCATAAATGGCTTCAACAGCAACCGTCATTTTTGGCTGAAAACGGACATCATGGTCATAATGTCTCGCCACCGTAAGTTGAAGTTTGGTACTGGACTGATTGGGGGGGCGGAATAACGCCCGGTAGGTCCCCAAAAAAAGAAAAATCCGCCATCTAGGTAGATTTTATAACGTTGTTAAATGACGAATTTAAACAAAGTAAGACTCATTCAAGGTTTCGCAAAATATGGTGTTTTGGAAAAAAAAAACCCCGTGTATGGTAGTGTAAATATAGTGGTTTCGGAAATTTTAAGTGTTCTAAGATGACCTTAGTATTCCAAAACTAGTAAAAGCAATACAAAACCGCTCTATAAAATTCTAGGTTTAACCACATCCTCATCGGAACTCTCTGTTCTCTGAAACAACCCCACCTTTTTTTGCAGTTTCCCTCAATCCCGTGCTTCCACCCTGATTCTCTGTCACCCTCTCATTTCCACGCAACTCTACATGTACCAAAAAACTGACCACCGACATCTCTCATTCTGTCAATATAGACATCCCCGTACGGATGCCCTTCCACGCGTCCAGTATTTGCCCCGGGTTCCGCTACAAAAACTGTCCGCCACCCATCGGTCCCCCCAATTTTTCGGGGATTTTGATGTTTTTCGGTTTGGATTCCGGCCCGCCCCAGACACCCTTGCCAACCACAAAATTTTACAGCAACTCGCTGGTGTCGTCCGCGGAAACGTCGCATTGCCAGAGCAACGACTGCTCGTCGTTTACGAGTGAATTGTAGGAAAAAAATAGAATGCAAGAGGAGGAAATTTAGGGCTGAGCAAGAGGAGCTGAATAAGCTGAGAATGATTGACAATCGGCAGAAGGAGCGGATCCATCAATTGAGCTGTGAGCGGAAGCTGCTGCATGATCAGATTGATGACCTCAAGTAAGACTTAAAAAGTTAGAAAGACCTCGTTTTAAGAAAAAGACGCTTGAAGCAACTCCAGAAGGCAGGCAGCTACTGCAAAATCAGAATCGTTTTCTGAATGGTGAAGTGCTCCGTTTAAACAAGAGATGTACTGAGCTAGAAACTCGGCTAAGAAATACCTCTAAGTAATTTTAACTTTAGAAAAAAATAATTAAAGTTTTCTCATAGTTCTTTGGCGGTGGTTCGGGATGAACTCGAGCGCTACAAACGTGAATATGTGTTTTGTCTGCAGTCTTGTATTCGGATGCCCTTGCACGATAACAATTCGCTTGATGTGGTCCAGGTCAAACTCTACGGCGGTGATGTGGTAAGGATTCGTTACGTTCGATACAATAATTTATCATTTTAGCATCAGAGGCGTATTACCGAGTTGTTGGCAGCAGCTAGAGTGGAAGATCCGAGCTTACCGACTTTGCAGAGGTTAGTTGATACGTCTCAAACTTTAGTTATCAATTTTCAGCATCGTAAACGGAACCTACGTCGACGCATACGGATTCCGCCATTTCTATCCAGATTATACCCTTGCTCTCCATTTCGCAGCCACGCAACTTCATCAATTCTACAGTGACCGTCTCGAGTCAGCTCAAGAGCACCGTAGACGCTGGAAACATTTCCTAGAATCCCATCCAACCATCCCGCTTTGTGTAAAAATACTTAATTCAGCGCCTACCAAAATTCAGAAGGAATCAAAGCAACTAGTCCGAGCTGGAATCCCGAGTGGAATGAGAAGTACTGTCTGGAAGATTTTGATCAATCAGCAGGTAATACTGTCGCTAAAAATAATATAATCAGTAACATCTTGAAAAGCACTAGATATCCAACTACAATATAAATTACAATCAAACTTAAACTAAAAAACAACGGTTTCAGGTCCTTGATATGAAAGTCCAGTATGGAAAGTACTACTACCGTAACCTGTGCAGCTTACAAGGAGGGGAGGCTGAGCGTTTGGTAAGAAAAAAAAATCAAATTCAAACGTCTCTTCCAGTTCTGCAACCAGCACCAAAAACAAATCAATTTGGACCTGCTGAGAACAATGCCGAACAATATCCATTTCATGTCGGCTAATTGCAAGGGGGTCGCACAACTTCAGCAAGTTCTACGAGCCTTCTGTCTCCATAATGGGTCATTGGGCTATTGCCAGGTAATAGGAGACAGGCAAAAAGAATTGTCAAAATTTAGGGGATGAACTTCCTCGCTGCAACGGCGTTGCTCTTCGTCGGTCCTGAAGACGCTTTTTGGTTCTTGATCGCCTTGACTGAAAAATTCTTCGATAAGTCATACTTTGACGACAGTCTGGCTGGAGCCCAATCGGATCAGGTTCGAATTATTAAAAACAACAAGTACTGAGCCTTTAGGAGGTCCTCAAAGAACTTCTGGAAGCCAAATTCCCCCGAATCCAACAACATCTTGATCTCTGTGAGATCGAGCTAGCCACGATCACATTGAATTGGTTTATTGCTCTGTTTTTCGATGCTGTACCATTTCATGTAAGTCTTCTGTTTGATTTCCAGAATATCGAATTTTAGACGCTTCTTCGTATTTGGGATTGTTTTTTGCTTGAAGGGCCGAAGGTTTGTCAAAACTCCTAGTCGTAATCTGAAGTGGCATAGGTCCTGTTCCGCTTCAGTGTGGCTCTGCTTGGGATGAATGAAGTTGAAATCCTCCAGAAAAACGATACTATTGGCATTATGAAGATCGTCAAGGCGGCTGTGAGGTTGACCTACGATATTGATGGGCTGCTGATGGTAGAAAACAAAACTTATGACGTAAAACCCTCAATTTAGCAAGCATTCTGCGACCTGAACCCATTTCCATCTCGTGTTCAGCTACTGACAAAGCAGCAAGCTGTCCTGACATTACTTCAAGAAAAGCTATCCAAAAGACAACACCGCCGGGATGCGCTGACCAGCTCGGTAAGTTTTTTACCCGTCGATTTTATCACAGTTGTTCAGTGTGACTCCGCTTATGCTTCATCAACTACCGAACCTAATGACGTTCCGATTTCGGACCTTGCAATGTCAACATATTCAGACGGTATACCTAATATCTAGTCGTATTGCGTTTTAATCTAGGCACCGGTTTCGTCGTTGCTGGCAATCAACATATCGGGTTCATTGGAAAATTGGTTTTGGAGCCGATTTTGAATAGAATGCATCGGATTGACATCGAGGTATCGATTTGAAGCTTGACACATCTATCCCTTTTAGTTTGATTGCCGGGTCGTTTCTCTCGTCATCGTGCAACCGGAAATGGCGTTTGCCAGTTTAATCTCTGGATATATCGTTGCACTACATTTGGAGGGGAATGAATGGTGGGGGAACTCTAATACTTTAGTCTTTCAATTTAATAATAATAATAAATTTAAATTTAGCACTATTCTGTGGGAGTTGAAACTCTCAGACGTGGCTTTGAAACTGCTACATGACGGCAACCGAATTATTGCTGCACTGGCTAATGGCACGATTACCATTTTGGAGGTAAGAATCCAGGACGTTTCAAACTGCGATTTTTTAGAATGTGATCGAAAAAGCTCCGACCAGCCTTGAAATGCTTCATCTTCCTATTGGGTCAGCGCCCATCAATGAAGCCGTTATATTTGGGGATCTTCTATGGCTTGCTGTGGCATGTCGAATTGTTATTCTGAATCGAGAGTATGTTTGCAAGGTCAAATAGTTACGTAAAAAAACCTAGGTCATTCTCTCACGTCTCGTCAATCTACGTCGCATGTTCAGCTAGTGGAAGTGGTACACCGTTTTTTGAAAAGGTCTAGAAAGTCCCTCAGTTTCGAATACCATCCAAAATTAGATCGTTTGCCTGTGCACATCCCCATTCGGTGCCTTTGTTGTGACAGCAAACTCGACGCTGATTCAGCTGTGGACCGAGGGGACGGCTTGTGGCTTGCTATTCGATATTTCCTTCGACCATAGCTATCGGTACGAGAGGAAACTAGGCATACACAAAAACACATCATAGGAAACCATCTTTGGATGGATATGGCGAAGAGGAGCAATCGATCCATATTGCGGCATTGGCATTTTTGGATGGGATTCTTTGGGTTGGGACGAGTGATGGTTATGTGATTATGTATCAAGTGGAAGAAGTCGTTGGCGAATCAAAATATCGTGTCCATCGGTATGATATTTACGACCATTTGGGTTTAAGTTTTTTTAGCTATCCGGCCGGTCGAAGGATACAACCGAAAAATTCGCCAAATAGCGGAAAAGATGGACGGATTGCTCTTTGTTATATCCCGACAAGGGAAGAAACACGGCTGGATGAAGCCGCTGAAGGGTTGGAAAGCCCGAATAGAGCACCTAGGAAAGTGTCAGTCCGGATTGACAAGGATACGAACAAATACAGCGGTATTTATTTTTAATTAGTCCTAGTAGTCTTATTTAGTACTTGTCGCGAAGATGAGATCAAAATCTTTCAACAACAAGAGCACACTTCCACAGAGGTATGGACAAGGAACTCCATTTTATACCGAATTTCCTTCAGAAAACCGAAGCTCAGCACAAATAAGCACATTCAACTGACGAAAGAGATCAGTCATGATTCGGCAGTTTCCGTTTTCTCTCACGGTAAGGCTTTCAAAACCAACTTTCTTCCATGCTTTTCATTTCCAGATGAACATCCAGACATCAAAAAGGCGGAATTGGAGCAGCAACGTGTCGAGCGGTAACTAAAGTCATCTTCGATCCACAAAAATGCGCTTCCAGAGAGCGCCGTCTTCGCGTTCTCCGAGCCTCAACTGGCTCTAGCTCAATCTCAATGGATTACGACGACCAATTTGAACTCTACTCTGAAGACGGCTTTGGTAGTAGGCTAGCAGTTCAGTTTATTATTTGGCTTTAGGAAAACGACTCCGCCGCCTCTCAGTCCCCACCATTCGAGCCATCGAAAATGGTTCATCAACCATGGACTTTGGTGGGAAATGCATTTCTTTTTGATTCGCTTTCTTAGTCCGAAATGACAGCAATTCGAGCGGGACATCCCTCGGGAAAGTGACGCCCTCCGCCGGCGGGACCTAAATTTTGATGACCCTCTTGTTGTGGCCATCCAAGGTATTGAAGGCGGCCTATAACAATTAATGATCTATAGAATCCGATGAGACTTGTGCATCGACAAGCGCCAGTCCGAAGTCTAACGAAGAAGACAATTCGGATGCTATGTAATTAGACTAGGCAATCACTTTATGTCCGATGTTTTAGGCTTTCGAGCGTGTCGTTGAACCTAACGATGAAGCTTAAAATATCTGACCGTCCTGTGAGACGCATGGTACCTTCGATGTAAGGATTTTCGTTTCATATCTTTATGAAGTGATTATTCAGATTTGGCGGAAGAGACGTTATGATAACCTGTTCCGGAAATTACGGGGATGAAGAAGCATTGCTGAAATGGTATAAAGATCCCGAAAGTGTAAGTGCTACACCTTCTGGCAATCAATTTCTTCTTAAATTTTAGGGCCTCTGGATCAATGACCCGATTGTTGATGCCCAAGCGAATCGAAGATATTCTGTATTTTCATCAACCCCTAGCAGTCCACGCAACCATAACCACACCTGATTTTTCGTGTATTTTTGCCTCTGTGTTTTTTGTTTTTATGCTTGATTTCTTCTTTGCCAGGTCCCCGAACCGGTTTACAACCCTTCCTAGCGATTCGCAACTTCTTCATCTCCGGGTAGCTAGACAATTTTGAACAATTCGTAGAAACAATATAGGACCTTCGCTGTACTTTTACCCCCCTCATAATTTGTACCCTTGGACTGCAAGTACAATCTATTTATTTCTAAACACGTCTTTGATATATATAAATGGTATCGTTTGTAATGTCTTGGCTGGGATTAGAGTGACGAAATTGACCCTTCCGCCAGCATGAGCACTTTGTCCCGTTCCACCTCATTAAACCCGCAGTTTGAGGAACCACAGCGGCACGGGAATTTATAGATCTAAAAAATAAAAATCAAAAAATATTTATAATTTACATTTTCCCTCCACCATTCCGATCCATAATCGACCGTCAGCTCAGCGCCCGGCTCGACGTCGTTGAGCGTAAAAAAGCAGATATGTACGTAGGGTTCCGTCGCGTCATCCCAAACGATAGATGTTGCCTGAAAATATGTCAATATAATAATTTATCTAGGATGAGAAAATTGCTGATAAGCTTAACTTACATAAAGATTCGGCGAGCAACTATGATTCACAAAACGCGTAAAGTTCCCAAATACCTTTGCATCAATAGTACATGACATTTCTCCCTAAGTTCAAAAATACAATCTCCAAAGTGTAAAGTTGAACTTACAATTTTGGTCTCAAAAAGATACTCTCCGCTGCCATCGCCCTCATTTTTCAACTCGCCTGTATATTCTCCAACAAACGTTCCTAATTACAATTTATCCAAGAAAATAGTTTTTAGGATACCGATCGGCAATGCATCCACAGTTCTGACAGCCCAGCCTTTCTTTTCGGTGCGGTAAATCTGAAAATGTTTAGTTGTTTTTTTAAGGATTTTCCATTTTCGGTCGGAAGGGGTAGTGCTGTGGAATTCGGAGGAAGTTGCTTACAGATGCATAGCGGGTGGAATGGGGGTGGCCGGGTTCAAGGGGAATAAACAGTTTTTTGTTTTTCGGGGCCCAAAAAGCGATATTTTACCGGCTTAGGTTGTTTTCTAATTTGTCAAAACTCTTCTTATAATCTTAAAAATTATCCTACCTTATATAATTTATAAGAGAAATATAAGAAACATACAAGTTCTAGTTTCTAGTCTAATATAAAGCCTCATAGTGTATCAATACTGGGTAGATTTATCAAATTTTTGTTGTAGTTTGATTAGCTAACCTACTTTGCCCTTTTTCCATCAAGAAATACATCCTAATCACTCCTCAAAATCCCAAACACATCTCTAATTTCCGCCCAGCGCACACAAATCCCCACCAACAGATGGACGGCTCATGAAAATAGGCTATTAGTCGAATAGACAACAAAAGCCCCTCCACCACACCCCCCAAGGGAAAATGGGCATGTCATCTTTTAGCGCACAGGATCCAACGAGCCCCAAAACACCCCAGAAGAAAAAACAACGATGGAAAAGGGCGTAGAAATAAGCACCTGAACAGGATGAACGGCCCCCTTCTGGGCGACGCGATTGCCGCATTGAAGCGAGCACTCACAAGCCTCGGCACATTCAAATATCACACCCTGAAACGGAAAGGGCGAACGTCGAAAGCCTTTCAAAAGAAGCCGCTACCCCCAAAGCGGCCCATTTCCTGCCCTTGGCCCCCACTCCCTCGTCATGCTTTTTTGCAGAACTGGGGCGTCTGGTTATTAACAAAAAACAACAAAAATAATCGCTGTTAGTTGATAGTTACCGTATTTTTGCTCGAGGCGATATATTCTTCAGACTAAAATTAGGTCTCTGATTTTTCAAAGGGTATTCTTAGCTATGAGTTTTGGATTTGCAATCTTTATAAATACGGTATGCAAAAAAATAGCGATTAATATGACTATCTTTTTGTAAACACATGTGCTATAAGCATAAAAGGTTATGTTCAGTATACATAAAATGCGTCTCTGCAAATAGCAAAATATTAAAAGTACGGCGAAAAATGCCAGCTGAGCTCACGTTCAACTGATCCATTGGGAGACGTCCATCATCAGAATATGGAATTGTAGAGCAACAGCAATCCATAGTTAAACACGATCTCCCGCATACACAGCCCTAAAATTTTATATAAATGTTATTCAATTATTTTTCAAATGGATGTGGCAAAATACCACTAAAATTTGGTAATAAGAATGTGAAAAACTTACATCCACCAAAACAGTCCTGTGCTCCTTGCAAATTCCCTGGCTGTCCAGCACCCGATTTGTATAAGCAAAATTACCGACAGTGAGTCGCGTGTCATCGACCGTATTGAATACCGGTACACAAAATCGCTCTAGGCCCAAGCTGATGTCCCTGAAAAGATTTGAGAGATGGTATAATCTTCAAGAAAGCCATACGGATGGATAAGGCCAGGAGGAGGAGGTGGAGCAGGGTTATTTTCTTCCAGTGACAAATTCTCGAGGGCCTCGTGCTCTTCTGCTTCTTCTTGGCCCTCGTTGCTCGTTCCCCGCATCGCGTTTGTTCGGGGAACACCCCCCTAAAGTGTGGGAGTATGCGCCGAGTTTATGGTTTTATGTGAGGGAATTGGAGGAAGAACGTTGTGTTTCTTGGCTTAAAAAAATAATATAATATAAATAAAGGATATTCGACAATTAATGAAAACATGCCAATTAACAAGAAACATCAGGTCCTATGGATTTAACAATTTGCATTTATATGGATAATATTGTTCTAAGGTATTAGAACATTGATTTAAGGACAGATTTGTGTTATTTCAAATTCTATGATGAAAATTATCGCGTTCAACACGGCAAATTTGTTAATATGGTTCATTCATGCACTGCCGCACGTTTCATAAAATTTTGGCATATATGAAAAAATCACCTTGCACCCCCCCATTTATGGTATTTATTAAAAAACACCTGAAAATACTTATTTTCAACGAAAATTGGCAAGGACGACTGGCCTTTTTGGGGGGTTTGGGGGGGGGGCAGAGACGGTTGGAGGGCGTGGGCTCTTCCTTTGCTAAGCCTCCCCCCTTTTCTGGGCTCTTTTGGCTGGGGCCCTGGGTGCAGTAAACGGGGGGGATTAATGTCCTGAGTAACTTGGATATGCGCTTAGCACTTTTCGGCAAAAGGCTTTGTTACGTCACAGCACAGAAGGAAACAGAGATCCTCACTGAACTAAAAGTAGAGAAACGGCCAGGGCTTGCTTACCAAGAAAATACAGCCAAATACAAATTTGGTACGCTTATTCGCGACAAAATACCTTAAAATAGAGCTTTTCCGGCTAATTGACTGCAACCAAATAAGGGAATCTGCAAAGGCAAACGATCCTGGAATATCAGATTTCAGAAGATGGCCTCTGGTTTCATCCCGAAAACGACTCCATGATCCTCGCCGAGTCTAACGATGGCCCTGACCGGAAATTAGAATCACGTCCCACTTACGTATGACTAACTCCAAAACACAGTTTTTTCATTGTAGCAACTCGAACGCTTGTGATCCATATATTCGACTGAAAGCCAAAGCCAAAAAGGATTTCCTACCCAAAGGATTTCAACGCTAAAGCCAGACATTTCCTCGAAAGCCTGGCCCTTTCAAAAGCACTTTGCGATGGGAAAAGGCCGGACTCGCCGATCGAAACAGCCGATTTGACAGGCCGATCGTGCATTTAAAATATTCCGGGGTTTCACGTGACGGCGAAGGTAAATTTCCCACAAGGTGTGTATATTTGGTGAGGGCACCCATTACTCACAAGAAAGCAAACGCATTTCGGCGGTTCGAAAAACATTTTTCCTAGAAATCGTCGGAAATAAGCGTCCGCAACTTGACCTAGCGTCCATATGCTAAGACACACGGCAAAACGAAGGCTAAGATATTTTTCAAAGCGCTTTGCGAGGAAATAAAACCATAATTTTGGATCGGGCAAAGCTATTTCACCAAGCAACAGCAAATCGTAAACATTTTAAGGTTGTGGGGAGTCAGGGTGGCATACCCCCACACCCCCTTACAGAGCCCAAAACAGGAACATCTGGGCAGGTTGGGAGCGGTTTTTCGTTAGTAATGATCCAGGATTCTTTGAAGTGTTGAAAAATTGGTTTCCTGAAAAACTGATGTTTTGATCGGTCGCTGATACGAAAAACAACCACCCGACGCGAACCCATTCAAGCCACCTAGATTTTTGATTGAAAAGGTTTTGTATAAAAATTGGGCCTCCTTTTTGATCATTTTAAGCTTCCATACAAGTATCTCGTAAAAAATCCCCCTAATAAATCCTGAAAATGCAAGGTCAAGATTTGCAAGATTTTTCAAGAGTTTGGCCAGAATCCCGTTCCAAGGATTAACTTGCGAAAGCCATAGATTGTAGAGCTTTGTTGACATGGTCCATAACACATTTTTCTCATTTTGGCGAATTTTTTGTCTAACCGTCACTACAAATCGCCGGCTTTCGGGAATGAGACCCCGGAAATGAGGCCGTTGAGGGCCGTAGGCCATGGATGTAGGCGCCTAGACGGCAAAAAATCCCGGTTTTGCAATTTATCCATGTAGTTTTGGTAAATGTCTTCAGTAATAACAAATTGACGACTGTGTATTTTGAGGAATCAAAAAGTTACAATTTTTAACAAAAAGAAGGATGGATTTTTAAATATTGCCATGGTCCCAACAATAAGGTTTTTTCTATTCAGCAGCGAAATTCTCGGCTCGGCGAGGCTTAAACTGTGCAGAATTTTTTTCTGAATCCTAATCTGGTGTCGAAAATAGCAATTTTGAAAGGTACGAGGAATTTTTTTTCAATGTCAACAAAACACAAAATCGCCACAAAAACCCTGAGAATGAAAACTGCAAAAGTGCATGCTTCCTCTAAAATCTTCGCTTTTTAAATACAGTACCCAATCTTCGAAGGGATATTCTCTATTCCAAATTCCTTATGTTGTAGTCTATCAGAATAGCAAATCTCCCTGCGCGGTAACAAGATACGAAAAACTTTATGTTATTGGCAGGGAAGGGTGTCGGGGAAAAAGGGGGGATGGGTGGTTGAAAGGGGTGGAGAAGCGCGATTGGCAATTAGAGGCCCATCCGTCGGACCAGCGGGCCCCAAACCCCGGGGCTTCACCCTCCTTCCGACTTCCGCTCGGTCCACTGCAGAGATCCGCGGACCACACACTCTTTTTCTATTCCCCCTTTTTCAGTAAAGAATGTTCTTTTGAAAACAACCATCAGCAGAGCTATTCTATGGGTTGGGGTTTGGATAGAGAGACACACACTTACTAGACGAGGGGGCAAGGGGAGCGCGGCATTCGGGAAATCCCCCCGAAAATGGCCACCTACTTAGGCCAGTTGGGTCCCACCACATTTTCGGGCGCTTGGGTCCCAAACTTGGTTGAAGGGAATTAGGGATATTCGAAGGATAAATGCTTGGCTGGGGGCAAGGAACTTTTGGATGGTAATTTGTTGTCTTTTAGCAAAAGAACAGGATCGAGAATGTTTTGTCTCCTGTTTTCGCCTTTTTGGCGTTTGTTCGGAGTAGTTTACCAAAAAAAGACAAAATCCAATGGTAACGCAGCGGCGTATGGGTAAATGAAATAGGCAGGCAGCGCCCTGTCGGAGGAAGTTTATTTTTTTGTCTAGCTTTGAAATAATATCACACAACCTTACTCTCATAAATCCTAAAAAAAACACAAAATAGCTCCATTTCAAATGCTTGAAGAGTCAATTTCGCCCTGCCGCGCTGATGGCCGAAAATGGGATTTCTGTTTGAAGGATGAGAAAGACGGGATAGCAGAATCGAAGGGTCTTCCCTTGATGGAGGAAATCCCATATCCATCCCACTCGAATCGGAAACCACAAATCAGGCGGACGGGCAAGGAGGACGAGCCTTCGATGACCCTCGAATCAGCGGGGCCCAATTTGGTGGGCTTCAAAGTCCCTGCCTCTTTTTGAGGGGTGCGCCCCTCCCCCGGCCAATATGCCCTTTTCGATTGGTCGAATGGATGGGAAAGCGCGGCAGATATGTGTCACCACATGTGTCAAGTCTCCCTTTGCATCGAGGGGATGGGGAGAGTCTATGCTATTAATTGGGCCAAAAAATTATGGAAAAAACTAACAAAAAGTATCGTAGTCTTCAACTAATAAGCTCACAAGCTACATCAAATTGGGTTTGCTGGGTATCTGCGAAAAATCAATCTTTTAAGTCATACCAGGTGGTTAGTAAGTTAGGAGTAGAGGCGGTTGGGATCCAAATGATTTTTTTAAAATGAACTAAAGCCAGGTTTTCCAACTTCCCTTTCTTGAAAATTCCGGACCCTATGAACAATTACCTTTGTGGAAAAGAAAGACCTAAAATCCCGAAGGGCCCAAACAAAAAAACGCGACAAAGGCAGAGCAGCCCGGGCCCCCAAAATCGGTGGTGGCTGGAATCCAATCAGAGGAGCAACGCCTTCCCCAACCCTGATTCTTTGACCGCTTTTCGCAACCAGGAAGAGGGTTGGACTCTCAAAAAAAATCTAGAGGCTTTGGACCGCCTTGGTAATGTAAAAAGTTTATTACAAACGGAAAGCGTAAAAGCAACCGATTCAACGGATAATTCTGCAACTTCACGCGCTATCCACCACGGTGGTGCTCAGCTTCTCGTCGCTAATGACAGTTTTCAGCACGCTTGGCACCTGCAACTCCTTGAAAGAGCCATCCGCGTTCGTCAGACAGATTGCGACGTTTTGACACTAAAATTTCAACGGTTTTAAGTAAATCTGGGAGGCCTTTACCTCTGCACTGAAAATTTCGACATCTTTTGCTGTATCCGCCAGGTGAAGCTGACATCCGACTGTCTTTGTTAAAGAAATCTTTGGTGCTGTACCAGCTATCTAAAATTAATTAATAGAATTTAAATTTACAATAATGTCCAGTATAATTGGGCTAGAGTCTCACCTCCATTTCCAATTGCTCACAATCCAGCACCTCAATTTGGTCAACCACGGATTCGATGCGCAAAAAGACCTTCTTGGTGCCCTGTACTTTGATCGAGCGGCTTTTTCCATTCATTCTGAACACGGACTTTAACAAGCTTGATTTAAACCTAAATATAATCGCTGAAAATCAACGCTTACTGTATTTTCACATTCTCACAATCTCGGACGAGGATTGACTGTCGCTCAGTCTCCACATCGACCATGGTCAAAGTCAAGCGATTTTTCAAATTTTCCTAATAATGTAAATAATAACTATAAACTATTCAAAGCCTACCATAATCAGCTCCTGCTTGAGTTTTGGCGCCCCGACGGTGGAATTTAAGGATGAATGCGAACTTGCCATTTCGCGACGCTAAAAGCAGCGTCGTTGATTTTTTGGTTTATTTTCCTGGACCTTCCAATTGACGTCTAAAATTTTACCTGACGGATTCGTCGTCGCTCGTCAGAACTGGATCGATTGTCGGCAGAGCTGTTTGCGCGCGGCTCCATGTGGTTGGCAGTGGGGTTTTGTTTCTAATAGATCATAAATCAGACTTACTCTAAATTTATCTTACCTCAACCAAAACGCTTCGGGTCATCTGTTCTTCTCGATAAGTATGCATTGCATTAACAGCTGCCGCAGCCAGATAGTGGGCTCCAGAGGTGAAATTTGTAAACTAAAAATTCAAAAGATGGGCAGTTAAATAGAGTATGTATGGTTCCAAGGAAATTTAGGTAACAAATTCTTCCTCGACCAACCTGTGCAGCATTTTGGATGCGAGCCTGATCCTCCACCTCACAAACATCAATGAATTTTCTTAATTTTCGAAGGGTTTCGGCGGGCAGCGTTTGATAGTCAAGCACCACATCGTCCGGATTCTGCAAGTATTTCTGGAAAATATTCAAAACCTTACCACAACAATATTGGCCGACTTTTCAATAATTTTAAAAGCACGCAGCTGGTTCCTTGAGGAGAGGTTCTTCACAGCAGCAGCAATATTATCCGCAGAATTGCGCGATGCCGAATTTTCCATCGATTCTGGAATACGGGGGGAAATCAGAGTACTGGCTAGTATGGAAGGAAGATAAATTGGCTCTAGCTCTAGTAAATGAGTGATCACGCGGCGCCGGCTGGGCAGATGGTACCGAAAAATTAAAATTTATCACTATGGAAAGGTCACTCGATCTGGCACTAATGAAAATAGTTAGTGCGCGTTTGAAGGTTAGGGCCGTTAAAGCCACCTGCACTAAGATAGGCTAGAAAATGGGGGTAATATGCCATACACAAAAAACCGTCAATTTCAAAATAGAAATTCCAAAATTCCATGGGTTTGTACATGTAAATTATCTGAAAAATTTTACAGGTAACGTAGTGAGGTTGCATTACTATCATAACGCTAGAAAGAATCCACATTGAACCTTTTGGCTGGACCCCTGGCGACGTCTTCAGGCTTGCAAAAACTTGCACAACATGGCTTTTTGTGTCTCCTAGCAGCGGCTAGTCTATTTTGTATTACGGTATAATCTACGAAAACTGCGAAAATGGCGTAAGAGGTGCTTTACTCACGAATACAAGAAAAACCTTGGAAACTCGTTACACCATTTTTGATAAATTACTATAAGCTGGCCAACCGTTCTTCTAACGCTTACGGTAAAAAGTACGGTTTGGCAAGTATTTGCCTACATTTGTGCTTTAAACAATCAAGAACATTATCCCCTTACAACACCCGGAATTATCTGCAGGCTAATCAACCAGTTTTGTTACGGATTACACCCCTCCAATTCCAGGGAAATACCCCCATAAGGTTCCCAGCACCGTTAACACCCTTAAAACCTCGACCACCTCGTTCTCCTCGTTCCCCTCCCGGTACAGAACGCATTAGTCACCGCAAGTTCGTTCCCGTGAATTTATTTCACCTAGCGTGCCACAATCGTTCTCCCACGCATTTCCCGACAACGATCCATTTACCAGCGGCTCAGCCCCCCGAATATGTTCCGTTTTTGCCCACCCAGGATGGCGGCGCGGAATACAGCTTCTTCTCATCGGGGCGTGAGCCATCTGGCCAGCTCAAGCTCCTCCCCCCTCAGCTCCTTCTCCATCGTTTTCGGGTTCTTCTCCGCCTCTTTTCTGTTGTGCCTTCCTTGGTGGAAGAGCTAATAGCTCTTGCTCCTCCCGCCCTAGCATCAAATTATTCTCCCGCCCCTTTAGTCAATACTCCGGCGGCGCCACCTGCTCCTCCCCTCTCTTCTTCGGTAGCAACTTGTCCAATTTGCTAATCGGCTGACCCCGTTCGGCGGCTTCGGCTTCACTTGACGACCAATTTACCCAGAGGAGATGAGGCTGTTATGGAGTCTCTTTCTGTTTATACCGATTACGATAGCGTCGTACTGTGGCGAGAACGGGGTGCCGTTTAGTATGGAAGTGTTGTCGAACGGTAGTTTCTGATTTTTGAGGTGTAGTTGAGCTTTCAGGGTTTCCGGTGCTTGGTTGTGCTCAGCCGTCTTGTATAGCACAACCAGATGAAGGATATGATGACTCTGTTTTTGAAACAGATCCTAGTGGACAGGTAGAGCCAATTTGAATTTTTGATCCAATGAAAAGCGTCAAATGTGGCTTTGGCTATGTACATATTTCAGGTCGACGGATTTTTCCGAGATGGCGATCGTGCACAGAATACTTTTTGGAGGGCAAACAAGTTCAAAGCGGTAGGTATATTATTAAATTATTTTGTGGTATCAGAACATTAATTCTGGAAATACAAAGTCGATAACTTTTCTCATTTACACCCCAAAAGTAAACCTAAAAAAGTACTCTGCAGAATCGCCCTGTATCTCAATTCCTCCTAGATGTTCGCCAGACACTCTCAGCGAACACTTTTTCATGAATTCCCCCAGATCCCGGTTGATCCCTCTCAAGCCCTTTGTGGCACTCGTCTCAAGGTTGATTCGCCCTCACTTTCACACCTCAACCAGCGTGCTTTTCGACCCGCTATGTGAAAGCTCGCCATCCTCCCCCCTTCTTTCCCTTCCTGCTACCGGATATCACAGTGGGTAGCCAATTCTGCCACCAGAAGGTCTCCCACCAGGCACGAATCGTGGCATAACTCGATACGAATGGCGTACCCTCACTCATTTATCATCCACCAAAAATCCGTTCGGTTTGGTGGCAGTGTTCATATGGCTAGATATGGATAAGGGGAGATGGAGAAGAGTGTTGTATCGGAAACAGATCCAATAGCACCGGAAGAAGGGGGGTTGGTGGAAAACTGCCCGCGGGTGCTTTCGATCCAGCCTGATTTCCAGGGCTTTCAGCGCCATTGAGTGTGCCTTTCACTATAAGGGTTACCGAGGTGGGATGGGCGTGAAGAATGAGGAGGTAATTCGTATAACCTTGAATTATTTGAGTGTTTTGAACGGTTGTGAAGAAGGAAAAGTAGAAAGCAGCTTAAAATTCGCTGAAAAAACAACTATTTTATGGTTTTCAAACTAAACATTTTGACGGCATTTTAAAATTGACCATATGCTATTTTTACAGTCACCTATTTTCCAATTTCGCCACTTTTACTCCAGCCGAATTTTAGCCCTCCCCAAAATCCGTTAAACAATCTATCCCGCTTCTACCCAATCCCATTAAACCTCATTGACCACCCTCCAAAAATCCCAGAAAAAGACAAAACACTGAAAAATCCTTGTTCCTCCCAGAACTGCTCGGGCGCCTTCGACGAACTTGCCTGTGTCCGGAAAAACCAATGGGTCGGCGGCATCGAGTACATCGACCATCCTCGGCAACCGTGAGTATCCGTAAAATATGGCCAAACAACCGAACCGTATTTAGCCTGGTGCTGCAATGCTGCAGTTTCGAGGGTCTGCGCTTCTCCCAAGATGTTGGGGTGACCACGATTTCGGCTGGGGAAGCGGTCACCGGCGGAGAAGTATGCTAGAAATAAAATTCTATAGATGCTTTATTACTCAGGTAATCCGTGATGGTCGTCAAATTTCGTTTGATGTTATTGCTAATGTGCGCAAAGTGATCGATCCGGAGGATAAGTCGTAAGTTCCTAAAAGATCTGCACTAAATTCTATTCCTCGTTAGTCCTCTCATCATCTGATCATTAATCAAAGCCGAAATCCGTTTCCTCTGCATTTTTCGCATTCCGCCACTATGGCATGATGAAGCGAAAGTCGCATATCAGCTTCCATTTTTTCCCGCCCACCCCACCGGAATTCCAAGTGAGCGCCGGGGCTTTTGGCAGGCAGCCGAGGGGAGGGGAATCAGCGAAGCGATGCTAAAATGCGGTCGTTAGGGAGGGACTGTCGAAGGCAATATGCTTTTTATGAGCTTAACAATGTATGGTGAATAAGTGCGGAATCGGAAGCTAGTAGATGTTATAAAATCAGCTGTGAATTGAGACTGCATTAGTGTTTAATGTGCTCGGCTAAAGCATAAAAAGAAAGCTTAGCAATCTTACAAAGTATTAGTTTTTTTTTCGTAAACCCCTAAAAGAGTTTTTTTACGAGCTTTAAGCTTTTGGTCTTACAAAATTATTAGTCCAAAATCCCCGCCGCATAACCGCTCTTACTTCAATTTAAACCAGTAATTTCTAAACAACTTTCACACCTTCTCCCCCTTTCTATCCACAATCCCCCATCTCACTTTCATTCCCCCGATTACACCCCCCGAAAAACGGGTCGACAAAAATTCGCGGTTCTCCCCCCAAGGCGACACGCGCTGCCAAAACCCGGCGAATCGATCCCCCAGCCCTAAATTTGGCCGCAGATCAGAATCTGGCGCCGAAGCCGAGTGGCTCCCGAGATCGGCGTTCCGATCTGCGCATTATCGAGCCCTTCAGTCTCGAGCAAAGACTGTGTGCGACTGTGTGAAAACTTGTGAACCCCCGACAGAAACGGCAAGTTCCAGGGTCTCATACGAGGTGACGGTCCGCCGGATGAACTGTCTACCAGATCCGCCGGAGATCGAGGTGGCATGTGAGTTTCCGTCTTCCTTGGTACGGGTGTGACCAAGGCTATTTGAAGATGGGGTAGGAATGTGGGAAGGATGAGATCGATAAATTAGGTCTCTAAGGCCACACTTGAGCAGTAAGAATTCTAATATAGTTTCTGATGCCCTATCGCATCTCAAAACGTCAAAAAATGTTAGTGAAAATGCTTAAGACTCGGTTTATAGGATCACAATATTTTATGCTACAACCCTAAATTCCTAAGATCCTTGCTGTTTTATCGCAAAAATAATTAAATTCGAAAAGAATCGCAAATATATTGAAATCTGGAACAATACCACCGTTAATAAACCAAAAATCAATAATTCAAAGTGCGCCACTACTCACTAAAATCCGAGCTGAAATTCACCTTGGAAATTATTGCAATTATTTTCTCCAATTCATTTAGTTTCAGAAATTACATTAGCGCGAATTGAAGTCTGACCTTTAGCCCATTCCTAGACTATGCTTTCCTCCTTTGTAACGTGCCAATACACATAGATCCCTCCTGTCCACTACCCCCCCCCCTCCGCCGTTCCGATGACCGGCCATAATTGTGTTGCATGTCATTGTGAGAAATGACCCGGTTTATCCACTCCCTCCTCTCCCGTCACGAACCGCCAATTTCACGAAAACTCGGCGTGCAAAGTCCATTGACAGAGTGGTTGTGAGGGGCATAATATGTACAGAAGTACGGGAACGAAGTATTAAATTATAGCGTGTGAAAATAATGATTTTTGACCGAATAGCGAATCTCATTTCATATATAAGTTACGATAATTATTATTATATTTAGATGAGCAAGACATTGATGATGAAATCTACCGGGTTTTGGGTACCGCTGGCAACACAACGCTCAAATCCAAGGAGATCGAACCTCCAATTCAGAAATACAAGAAAAAACCAGTGCGGGAACCCAAACGAAAACCTTCTAAACAAAGGTGAGAGCTGAAACAATAAAGATTCATATATTCCTTTTTAGAAAGCGTCCAAACAGCGAATTCGCTTTTGGAGCCCCGAATTTCGACCCAATAAAGGCACCCTCCAACCCTCCAACCAGATACCCTAAAATCACCAACGATGATGAGCCGGAGGCTTTTACAATGCAGCCCTACCATAGGTATCTCTGACTTAAAATATTCTAATTTGAATTCCTAGAACGGTTCCTGCCCGTCGCCCACGACAGAGACCCTCCACAACCGCAAATCCATTACCATCAACCCCGACCACAACTGTGGCACCGGAAACCACGTCGGTTTTCACGCCAGTTACGATTGGAAGAGATCAGTTCGCTGTAAGTCCCTCCTATATTTTATTTAGTAATTTTTTTTAGCAAATGCAACCCGGAGCCGTTACCCCAGCTCCGTTCAACCATCTTCAATTCCCCGGCTTCAACTTCCAACCCGTGCAACAATCCCCTCAACTGTACAACCCATTCCAGCTTCCGCCCCATCCACACTTTGGGTAGGTCTTAACTTTAACGCTTAAAGTAATTATTTAAGAATGGTCACACCTGCTCCAAATCCATTCGGGTTCCCTCAACCACAGCATGAACAATATTACCATCACCAAGTAGAGAATTTTTCAGGAGGATAGAAAAAAACCTATTGTTATAGTTCCCCGGCCTGCAGACCGCGCAAAACTACGGGGTGCTGAACCCCAGCGGTTTTGGACATGCGCAGCTCTCCCCCATTGGCCCAGCAGCAGAATGTGATCAGCGTCGCGTCGCCGCAATATTCGCCGCTTTCGGCATTCCAATTTGGGCAACCATTCGGCATTCCACAACCTGTGCAGCAGCCTGTCTGGCAACCATATGGCCAGAATTTGCAGCAGGTGAGAGATTGTATCCTTTTGTTATACTTAGCTTATCACATTCTCAGGACAATCATATGCCAGCGTAGGCTTTAAAAATAGAAAGAGGACCTAGTCTAGCTTGTTTAGGAATGTTTCATTAGTTCCCACCCGGTTTTTAAAACATTCAAGAATTTCTCAAACTATAACGCCGTTCTTTAATATGGCCACAAATCGCGAACAGCCAACCCATTAAAATATAAAATAAATAAATATACAGTGCAGCAATAGGCATTATTTTTGGAGTAGAAAAAGATATTTTTTGAATTCTGATTTTACGGACCTCGCCAATTATTTTTAATTTTCATCATATTTTGAAATCTTTCGACAACCCATTTTCCGCAAAGACCTTTTTTTGCTTATTTCGGCATAACCATGGAAAATTTTATCTATTAGTTTGGTTCTATCACTTTTAAAAACTCCACCCGTACCTTACATGGTACCTTTGTTAGCCAATTTTGCAAACTTGCATGCCACAAACCCTTTCCGTTTTCAGCCCCAAAATCCCAACCCACCCCCACAACCAACCGTCCACACCACCGCTGAAAATGTTGGTGAATCGGCGGAGGTTTGTATTGTCACTAACCCTTTCGCGTGCCATCATTTTTGTCTCGAGCCCATCAATTCTCGGTTCGAGCACTTTCTGTGTCGACAGCATCCACATCCACACTCCCCCACACTCATTTCCAACGCACTCCATTTTTAGGTGGTAGCTCCGAAGATGGGTGCGGATCAGCTGAACAGGTTCCAACAGGCTTCTCCTCCCGGGTCGTCGTCGTCGGTGGCGGCCGCCGTGCCGAACCTCTTCCCCCCGCCACCACAGTTCCCCAATCTCGGACAATTCAATTTGTTCGGCAGAAAAAAGTGATGTGATAATTATTGATTTCGAGAAATATTGGTGAGCGTGTATTAGAGTTGTTCTTACTCAAACCAGATTGCCATTAGCGAGGGATCGGGAAATTCCGATGTAAGGGTTTCTATTGGGTCGAATTTGGCTAAGAAGAAGGCCTTTTCAGCGATAAGTCCACTCGGGATCAAGCATAAATTATGCAAAATTGTGCGCTGATTACGAATCTAGTTTCAAAATCTGATAAAGGATCAGATTAAAGAAATTGTGAGACGGAACTGCGGAAATGCCATAATTTCGCAAAATATTACCTTTTTTCACACTTATATTAGTTTTCACTTGGTGGTTCCGCAGATTTACAAACCCGATTCGAAATCGGCGCAAAATTTTACACCACATAAGCTTGGTCCGTGTGGAAACTTATTATCAGAGAAGACGTCTTCTTGTAGGAACGACTCTAGTCTGTATATTAAGAGAAGGTCAAGTATTTGCTTGCTAGTCATTATTTTGGGTAGTCAATTGGTGGAGAAGGGTGTTTAGGTTGCCGATGCCGGAAATCAACCTAAATCCCCTGACTCCGCCGGTATTAATAGCCCTATTTTTCGTGCCTTCCCCGCCATTCTACTGGTATATTATTGTTGTTATTGCCTTTTCTTTCCCCCCTGGGCTTTTTATTCTCCATTTCCTACTTCCTTCCCCACCCCCACTTCATCAACCCCAACCCGCCATGAAAAGTATCCGAATTCACCCATCCCCGGATCTGGTTCCGCTCCCGCCAGGAAGGCATCCACTCGTTTTTTTTTCTTCTGCTACACCGTTCCCCTCATCGAATCCTCACACTTGCTTTGCCCAGAGATCCGCATGACGATAGCGGCAACCCAAGAAAATATGGGCAGCTGGATGGCAAGTTTTAGAGGGCGAACCTGAAATAATACCAAGAAGATTTACAACCAAGACTTTGGCCAGGGTTGTTTATATACCATTTAAAAACCATAGTCGCACCCACGTCGCGCTTTTCATCGTTTTTTTTTGTTATGACCTATCCCGAAGTTCAATTTGCTCCCAATATGCTCAAACGTTGCGATCCTATTTTGTTCCCAAATGCAGCATCCCCCATAATCAACTCCCCTCAACTATCACCCCCCATCCATTCTCAGGCCCGCCAATTTTTAAGCATTGTTTTGCATGTGCTGAGGACATAGCAGCAGCAGCTACTGACGCGGCTGTCCAGTTTCAATTTTCTTGTTGCACCCATTTCCTTCCGTCTATCTCCCTCTTCATATTCTCCATCCTTCGCAAGCCGTCCCCCAAAACAGGTCGAATAAATGCTCGTCTTATCCGTCAGCGCAAAGCCGATAAAAAACACCTGGGTGAATGTGGAAAGAAAAGCAATCGGGGTTTGATGGTTGTGTTCGGGGTTTAGGGGAAAGTTTGGGGGAGTTAGTTGGAGGTGGAGGAGGGAACGGCACACGCTGTAGGTCAGGCTTTTTTAAGGGTATAATCGGGCGGGATCGATTTTCAAAGTGCTAGAATTTTGCCAAATTTGGATGGTTTACGCGCCAAAAAGCCCTTATCAACCCGACGCATTAATGGGAGGTCAGAAAAGGTGCGTACCTGCACCTGCTAACGCCGTGCTCCCCGGCTAAATTTTAGGCAAAAAAGATACTCAAGAGTCCGTAGTTTACGTACCTTAATCCTAAATGGAAGCGCTGTCAGGCTTGCTACGTATACTTTCAGCACATCGAGAAATTCCGCCTCGAATATAAAACCACACATTAAAAATTCGACACCAACTCTTCCGGTGATCCTGTTAGAGCCCAACCCCCGTTTCACCTACAACATGAAATCAATCATTATATGCCTCCTAGTTTTTCTAAGCAGCTACGTAAGTTCATAAACACCTTGGAAAAAAATTTCAGGCCTCTGCGCTATTTGATGGCGCGAACATCACCCACCTAAATTCCGATAACTTTCGAAACCGAGTCCTAAATTCAAAGGACCACTGGTTGATCGTCTTCTACGCTCCTTGGTGTTCCTCTAGCAAAAAGTTTTGCCAATTAAAAAAAAAAATTTTGCTAGATTTGCTCCAAAACTCGAGCAACTCGCCAAGGCTAACCCTTCAAAGAAATTACTGGTATTACCAGTACATTTCCATGGCTGCCATTTTAGATCGGAGCGGTCGATGCCGAGCAGTGCATCTTGATTTCAAACGATTTCAACATTCAACAATACCCTACATTGCACTACTTCGCACCAGGAGCAACAAACGTCACAAAATACCTGGCTTTTGAAAGTCTCGAGGAATTGCAGAAGTTTGCCAAGGATATTGACCGGAAATAAAGTTTTGTGTTGCTATGTTGGAATTGATATAACAATTTACTTTATTGCTTCGCGAATCTTTGAGTGAGATTATGGAGAATAATATAGTATCGTTTCACGAGGGAGGTTGGAGAAGGCGGCTAGATCAATGGTTGATAGACGGAAAGCGGTTGTTCTCCGGGGCCCTCTTGGGAGGATAGGTCGACGGGTAGGATCAGCCGATGCGGGTTTTGACCGAGACGCTCCATCAGCTCGTACTGAAATCAGACATGGTATATAGTAAAATAGATTCCCATACAATTTTGAATCCACAGCAAATGCCGTACTAAAATCAGAGGTTTTAGACGTCTTTACATTAGAATTCTCTTACGGTGGCTTCAAGTTAATGTCGAAAGCCTTACCCTTCGCTTGGCCATCTCCATCAACTCGCCAGCCGGACGGAACGACCTGCCGGAGCGGATCAGGGCGCCTCGAAGCCCCATGCCTTCCTGCGCAAGTGCCAGAACGAGCAGGACTGCAAAAATTATTTAAGCTTTGACAGTACCGAACTAGCTTTTTCCCTAGACCTGCTCTCAAGTTCCAAAATCACCTTATACAACTGCCGCAGATCGTAGGATTTTACTAATTGCCATAAAAAACCATAGATCCCACAACATTACGACCACCTGCCTGACCCTTTGAGATCAAACAGCAAAGACAGCTGCAGTTTACACATCAAAAATTAAACTTATTGTAGGCCTACAAAACAGACACAACCTAGCAGTACCTAACAACTTACCAACAAGAAGCGTGGGCCTCATCGTCGAATACGGACTCGTTTTGCTACCGGTCGATGAAATGGGACTTCTCGTCACCCCCGCTTTACCCCACCCCAAAACCCTTTGTCCCCGCCCCAAATGGTAATATATCCGCTCAAATTTTATTATTCACCATGGATAACGGTGCAATAGGATTAGGCCTCCGGGAGAAGAAATCATTACGCCGGTTCTGACAAGTCATGCCAAATTCTGGGAAGGTAAAGCTTGAAGTCACAAGAAATGTGGATACAGTATACATACGAACATTAAATCAGGCATAAAAAAGTACAGGAAATGGATAAGGCATATTATTCCAGTTCAGGGGGACGACAACATTACCGACGAAGCTGCGTGGCAAGGTTATCATCCCCGCTAGCAAGATATACAAAATGAAGCTGCAGACCACAAAAGCTCTCAAATATTGCACAAGGCCAATATTTAACAAGGAGATTGTCTATGATTTATATATGAGCACGAGCATTCAGCATCATCGGCTTGAAGTATTTTTCGAAAGTCGGAAGCACCTAAACACTACGGTTCAATTTTGTTGTGGCTCGTTACTTCTTGCTGGTTCAGTTGGCTCTGCTGGGCCCATTTGATCATATTTTCATAAACATGGCCGTCACGACGTCCGAGAACCGAATGCAGTTCACTAAACACAACTAATTAGAAACCAAGGTTTTTCTACCGATCGCTCAGGTCAAACGAGTCGACAAGTGCCAAGGCATTTGGACGAAGTTTTTCGAGGAGCACATAAATCCCATCACGCACAGCATCGAGCTGGACATCAGTGTAGAAACCATTCTAAAGATCAAAGATCAAGGACAAAATCTATGAATATACCCTTAAAAATTCATGGCCCGCGGCCGAAATCAAGTCGAGGGCATATAGTTGGGCCAATTGGTTCAACGGCTCGCTGAGGGTGCTGTCGGAGATTTCTTCGATTTTTTGGAAGAACACCTTCATTAGGTAGAGTTTTACGTGAAGCTAAAAGATGGATCTAGTTTCGGCAATCAATCATATACAAAAGCGCCAAAAACCTACTCTTGAAGCTTTGGCCAGTTCGACGGAACATCTATTCCAGGCATCTTCTGCTGACATACTTTGTTGGTGCTTTTTTAGCTGGTGATAGGCTTTGAAGAGCTGAAAAGTATCGTAGCAGATTTATTTAATTTTATTGAGACCAATTGTTAATTTTTTTTGTTCAGTGAACTTTTAAGACCACGATTAGCTATATGGCGTAACATATACGTTATATTGCCGTACACTAAATTACTTGATTCGGACCCAGGTAAGCCAATCTCGCAAATGCCAACGCATTAATACGACATCAACCCGTGGCGCAGATTGAATCATACCTGCTCGCGGGCGACATGCTCAAAATCGTGGATAAGTTCGCGGGGAACGGCGTTGTTGATATTTGAAAAACTAGAAAACTTAATTACTTAGGCTTAACCAAAGTCTCTATACCTGCTTTTGACATTGCCACGACGACCGAGGTATTCGGTGAGTGCGGCAAGTTTGGCGTTGCCTTGTTTGACAGCTTCGGCTACTTTAACTAGGGCTCTGGAAATGGTTGCATAGAATCGCAGGGCAGGGATTAGCAAACTAGACAGGTTTAAAAAGTCAGGAAATTCGGTCTGGACCAAGGGAGGCAAAGGTGAATTAGGAAATTAGCGCGTCTATCATTTCCTGAGGCGAGAATCCAAGACGACCAATATTTGGAAAATCCGGTAAAAACACTAAAACATTACTAACCTGGCGACCTGAAGCAACATCACTAAATTCTCCCCCTCATACGTACAGCCACCCACAGCATACGCATAAATCTCGGGCAGTCCCGAAGCATGGGAATAACCATGACCTCCACACCCCAACCGGCACTGCTCAATACCCTACAAATTGAATATATGATGAACCCGGTTAGAGCGAGCCCTACTCACCTGCGCCGTCTCCCAAGAAACCAGCGATTTGAGGCCGGAAGAGATGATGTGGATTTCCGGCAGCAGTTCCGTATTTCCGGTGCTTAGGTTTTCAGTTAGCTGTAAAATAGGTTGAATTCTAGTTTTGTGGTTTGGCAGCGAGGCCTTAATTATGTATCCATGCAGCCTGGACAAACCTTCAAATACAAATCTCTCGTCTGATAAGCGGCAAACATAAAAGCGTAAGCCCGCGCCACCTGGGGCATCAGTCGATATTGTTGGGTTTGATAGTCCAAAATTTGGACTTCCCCTTTTCTAAATAACGATATTTTGAAAGCTATTTTAATAATACCCAGGTACAGGCTCTCCCTGTCTCCGCACACTCGAATAGCGTACAGCAATTGTAGCCGCAGCTGCGAGTTGCATAGATTGATCCTTGATCATAATCGATCTCACAAAAACCATAGCACCGAAACCGAGCTTGGAATGCTTGGGTGCTACGTAGGTCCCGTCTTCGAGAACCTGAAGAGTAATTTTGATGAGATTTCTTTTCACTACCTTGGAAAATCTCATAAACATATTCTTGCGTGGTATACGGTATTGATCAAAAAGTAGAAAACCATTGTCACTCCCATTGATGCCGAGCTTGGGTCCGATATCACCGAGGCGGACTCCTGAAAAATTTGGTACAATATTGATGGTCGAAAGCTACCTTTCATAGGCATATGGGTATTGAGGTCTCGTAGTTGGACGAAGAATGGGTGAGGGCCATGGCATTTGCCTTGAGTGTAGAGTTGGGCCATGACGATGGCATGGCTAGCTGTTTTGCCGAGACCTGAAGAGGATCAATTTCGGGATGAGAGATGAGTGCGACTTGGTGCAACGCATCCGATGTTGTATAATAATCTAATTATGGCTTGGCGTTTTGCCAAGAGATGCACAATAAGGTGGCGGATTAGCGGATTAGTGATATGACTTTGTTTCCGTTTGGAGCGCCTATTCTAGGGAACGGCCACGTGATAGATATTTTAGGATTACAGTTTTTTTGCGAAAACCTCCAAATCGTCTTCTCTCTCTCTCTCTCTCTCTCCCTCTCCCCCCCCCCCCCCCCCCCCCCCCCCCCCCCCCCCCCCCCCCCCTCTCTCTCTCTCTCTCTCTCTCTCTCTCTCTCTTAGTCTCCCACATACCTCCCGGCCACCACTTTGCAGCCGTAATTTTTGGCGAGTTCAACACGAATTCTTTCGTTGCCGCATCGTAGGTGGCCGTGGTCTCAAGCTTCTGGAGATTAGTCCCTAAACACATTTGATCGGCCTCCATTTTTTTTCGGCAGCTACAAATCATTTCCCTCTATATCCCCAGTACGCCCGGAAAAGAACTCACCGTGGCCTAACTCAGTTTGAGCATAGGTGCCAATTATGGCCCGAGACACGACCAGTGGTAGCCACCTGAACGATATAATGGCTTGAGAAATAGCGGGGACTTTTGGAGGAACTTATTGGGAAAATGATGACTAATGAAGAACTGGATCTGGAATGTAAGTTGGATAGTCAGGAGTCTGACATAAATGTCTCAATATATCGCTTTATCCAGGAACTGAGTCAGAGCATTCTACTGAATTTTTCAAAAGGCTGACTGCACAAATTTGTATATGGATTCCCGGGGCGACTCTCTGCGGCCAAAATGAAACTGTGGGGGACAAGCCGTGCCAGGTGATAAGACCGCTCGAATGCCCCAAAGTGATACGAAGTTAGGGCTGCTGGCTTCGGCCAATACCGTTGGATTGGCTCAAACGGGGGGAAATGCTGATGTTCGATATCGCAATAGTATAATCAAGGGACTGGCGGCGTAAAAAATCAAAAGGTTTATTGTATTTAAATCCACAATCTTTCACTTAACGTTTCGAGGATGAATCGATCGATTAGAAATTATTAGCTGCGATGACAGTAAATTTTCAACTACTAAGGGGACATGCATATCAAAACTAATTCTTTTTCCCCGGAGTAAAATTTTGGAGTTGCCCTTTTTTACCGCCTCTCATGTCGCTCTCTCATTTTTAGAGATCATATTCTCAGCCGGGACTCATGTTATCTTCCAAAAAGGCCGGAGTGACCTTCCGCTAACTAACCAGTTTTCAGACCAAAAAAATTACAACGAGTTTCCAAAACCCTTAAATAACCCAAATTAATTGCAAAATTTGATAGCAAAAACAATTTAAAATTGAAACCCACTCGTCAAGCTGCTCATCGTCCGACTGATTCTGTATCGTTGGAAAGAACATGGCATAGTGCAGCGACATCCCATGCAAATCGCGCCCCATAATTAAACTAAAAAACCTCCGGAAATTGGGGTGCAATTTACTTTTGGTAGTAGATGCCCTCGCCAAAGAAGTCGGACCCATCAATTGCCTCGGCCAAATCGGTCATGGCCACGGCCTTTAATTAAGAAAGGTTGTTGATATATTAGTTTGTCATATCTTACCTTTCGAGCATTATTGGAGACACGATCTTCGCGAGTCAAAAATTCTGGAGGGATTGGGTCGCGGAATTCTTCGCGGCTTTCGACGAAATCAAGGATTTCCTTGCGACGCTGAAAGTATGGGGTAATTTTTGGGTTTTTTTTAATTACCTGTAAGTTTTCGGTTCCTCCATAGATAAAAGCAGCCATTTTGCGGACATCGAAAGTGCCCTTTTTGCGTTCGGCGGTGATATCAGGGTTGTCACCCGGTTGGATCAGTGTGTTCATTTTCCTAGAACGAAGCTGGGTGAATCCATATGTGGTCAATAATTGTTAGGTACAAAACGATAATATATAGTAATAAAAATTATACAATAAAGGTAACTCTGCTAAGTTTTGAAATCAAAATTTGACAGGCATCTTACAAAACACGGATCACCGGACCATCCAATCGCTTTTCTGTTATATAGCCAGGGATGGCGAGGGAAAAGACAAAGTGCGTGGAATTCGAAAAAGGCAAAAGAGGGAGTTGATAATGACGGCAAAGGAGGAGACTAGACTACACAACCCCACACAGCAACCTTATACCTTATCGGCGTGGCCCCAATTTTCGGCGCCGGTTCTTTAATGCATCGCTTTTCCAAGGCGCATTCCTGCTCTGCTGAATATTCACCCAGCACCAGTAGTGTAGTAAAAAATACAAATATCGATAGGTTTATTCACAAATCCTACAATAAAATCAGTAGAGCGGTTAGAAAAGGGTATGGATGGCGAGTTAATCAATGAATCACCAGCCCACGCGTGCTAAAACCGGAAGATGCTGCTGCCCTCCGAAAAAACCAGAACATTCCTAATGTCTGCCAACGGCTGCCCTAGGCGGTGAAAACAGCCATCAGCTGATCGAGCAGCTAAACGTTATCACAAAACTATAAATAAGGTGCTATGGATTTTATAATACACAAGAGGAATAATTTACAACGGCTTAAAAGCATAGCAAGTAACACCAGCCCGGCTGGTTTGGCAAAATAGATCGGTATGTGCGATATAGCTGTACTCGCCGCGTCCACATATCACATTCACTTTTGTTCCCAGGCGCGTTTGTGCTGCTTTCTGGATACGGCGTTTTGACTCGGAGGTGTCGTCAATTATTTCCTAAACTGATCGGTCGGCGGACATTCTTGGGGAGCGAACCTGTTCGATGATGGATCGGAGTGTCTCGCTGTTGCAACTTGGATCGACCATCCGGGTTTTGGCTCCGTACAATTTTCGACGTCTGTATTTGCATGGACGTCGACAACCACAGCAACAATCATTCTGAAAAGCGCGCGGGGACTTTCCGAACGTCGAAAATTCGGGTTCCGAATTTCCATATTCGAGAATTTTGAAATTTCGACATTTCCATAAGTTCCATTCTCGTAATTCTCGGAAGGCTTAAAGTTGTTTTATCTAATAGAAATTTAGAGCCTGACCTTTCCAGATTTTTCAGGTTTTAAATTAACTAAAGTCGCTATTCCGAAGCTTCGGCATACTTGTAGAAGAACGTGAATGAAACATTCAGTCCTTCTCCAGTTCCGCCGATGTTATTAACCTTTTAACTGTACCTGTGCAGGAGAAGGGGCTGGTGCAGCCCCACATCCCGTTGGTGGAACGGCAGCAGGTGGAGCTCCTCCACAGCCTCCGCCAGAAGGTAATGCTGGCGGACGAGGAGCAGCACCACCGCAACCTCCACCACCCCCACCGCATCCGCCAACCGGTGGAGGCATGAAACCACCGCCGCAGCCACCCATGCCGCAACCTGGATTCCAGTAATTGTTTTGACAATTAGGATTCGGCTCACCTCCGCCGCCTCCTCCGAACCCAAATCCGCCGCCAAATCCAAACATTGGGGGTTGGTACATAAAAGGTCTCCCGGCAGATGGACATGGCGGTGGAGGAGCCATTGGACAGGCTGGACGTGGACACATTGGCATGGGAGGTGGAGGGCATGGTAGACGAGGAGCACACATCGGAAGTGGACATTGCGGTGGAGGAGGAGGTGGAGGGCATAGTGGGGGTGGAGGGCACACCTGTAAAGAGTGTACCGTAACCGTCTGGCTACTGTAGTCGAGATTCACGTTGGGTAGAAGTAGCTTAGAAATGCCTGAAGTGCACCTTCTTGCAATGCGTCGTTTCGGTGATGGTCGAATTTTGTGATGAGACATAATTCTGTTAATAAAGCTTGAAAGCCTAAGCGTGACGCTTTTTTCGAACCTCTAAACAATGACAGAAATCAACCAGAAATTCGTTCCGAAACGACCGATTTTGCCCATTTTTGGAGCTCACCTAATAGGATCTTAATTTTTCCGAAGACGGTTATTTTTCTGCAATTTTTAAAAACTGTGGCCTTTTGAAAATTTCAAGCTTTATCGACCGAACTACTTCATATCGCAAAACTCGGTTATCACCTAAATCAGACTGTTTGTTACAGGAATCAAGCTACTAATTTAAATCCAAAAAAGCCGATGTATTGCTGAATCACAAAAAACTTAATCCATATCTCGCATCAGAACTAAATACGACAAAACCCTCTATAAAAACGGCCCATAATGACCAGAATTTTGACATTATAGCTGAACCATACCTGCATCGGGCACGGTGGCGGCAGTGGCGCACATGGCCTAGCACAAGGCATAGGTAACGGAGCTCCACATCCTCCTCCGCATCCGCCTCCGCAGCCAAATTGCCCCCAAACAATTCCGTAATACAGAAACGGCAGCCATAAAACCCGCCCAGCAACCACCATCGGAATTCAACAATTGGGTGCCCAGAAACTTGGCAAGAAATAGTGGAATTGATATCCCCTGGGGGTCGTCTCCAATAGTAGGTGGGTGGAGCATTGAAGTGCGTGAAAAACGTGTAACCAGTTTTTGGGAGGTGTCTTCCAACGGTGAAGAGCCTAAGGTCGACGGCCCACAGGCAATACTTGTATACCAGTCTTTCCATTGGTTGGCATCGGAATCGGAAGAAGGGAGGCCGAGACGAAGACCGAGACAAGGACATACATGTTTGTCTTCCCATGACCGAGCCCTCTCAATTCGAGAAAAAACGCGTCATCTTATGGACTACAGAATGGGTGGGTTGAAATTCCGGTGGATGCACAGAACAGAAAGGGATTCGTATATTTCCAGGCTTGCGTTCTTTTAAGTCTGAAAATATAGATGACTTCCTCGAGAGCAATGGATTTTACTATATCCATTGATCCTATTTGAACCAAAATAAGAGCATTAGATTCCATATTTCTCTGCGACCATGGCGCGGAAAAAGGTAAATATTTCTGAAGCATTCTCAAAAACAAAATAAACATTTTCAAGTTTTGGAAATTTTTGCAAACAAATTTTCAATTGAAGAATCGCGGGTTCTGGTTCGTTATCGCTTCGTTCTTCTATGTATAGGTATAAGAGCGCTAAAAACGTTGAAATCGAGAACCATCATCCCGATTTGTAGGATTATTCCTCTTGTTTTTGTCACAACTGCTAAAGTTATGGTGTTTTTTTCCTGGTATTAAAAGACATTGTTAGATCTATGATGCTCTCGTGGAGGTTCGCGTGGAGGTAGTCCCGAAAAATCACAAAATAATGAAAAATCTCCGGCCATGAGCCCCCCTCTGTTTAAAATACATTTAATCCATATTTATGGGTTAACCAGGCTTTATCGTCGCAAAGAATAATAATAATAATATGACTGCATGAACCGAGGAAAAAGATTTAGCATTTTAGCATTCACAAAGTTTTGGATCTACGTTTTCTTTCCAATTTTTTAGCTCTTGTGTTAGCTCGTATGAAAAAGATGCCCTTTCAAAACTCTGGATCCCTCCATGCTCATTAGCCTCACTTTGACAAGTCTTTAATAAGTATGGGCAGCCCTCCCACGGTTAGGCCCCCCACCTAGCCCCCTGTAAAAGTAATCATTGGTTGCCATGGTCGGCCCATTCCTTCCTTCGAAACACAGCTGCCACCCCAGCCTCATTTCACGCGATCGTCAACTTATTATGCGTCCACGGCTAATCCTATTTATATGCGTTATTTTGGCTACTTGGCACCGGGTTGAGGCTGTGACTATGGCTTCACTTGTAGGTTGTCCTTCAATGAGCATCTTCGTAACGTTAGAGTTGGCACGTGGCAGTTACTTTTAAAATAATATTCATGGTTTTGAATTAAATTTAGCTAAATAATTTGTCGTCCCATACCTTCTGCTATTGCAATTTTTTTTAAATTAGCATTATTCCAAATGCAAAGAAGCTTTGTGGCTAATTGCCGGTCTCCTAGGAGATATTAGTCGTGCAAATTTTAAATTAGCATGTCCTTTCCTAGAACTTTTGCAAATATGAAGCCAAAAATGTATTTTAGCTTTGTACTTCCTACCAAAATGATACAACCGGATATATCAAAAGTTACTACGAGTCCGACCTAAACCGTTGTGCTCTCTACGTGACATACGGTGGAGAGCCGTATGGTAATTTGACAGCTATGTGCAATCAGGTAAGGAAGGCCGTGCTCTACATATTTAAAGAGTTCTTAAAAATCAGGTTATTAATCCGATTAAAATTTCCAGATCGCTGCCCCTATCAAGGGGCAATGTCAGGTCGTGAATGCTATGCAAACTGAACTGTTGACGTATATCCAGGCCTCACTATTTACGGTAACATATCAATATTTGTAATACATATATTTTTGTTTTTTAGCCAGATGCCAAATTTTTCCTGGGCCTTGTTCGTGAGCCGGATTGTGGGGCATGGCATTGGGTCCATTACGATGGTTCCACGACACTTCAATCAGCCAATGGGTCATACGACTGTACGCAGACTCAAGCTGTTTATGATGTACGTACGGGATATAGTTTTTTCCCAGTTTCGTGCGCTACCCGATATAGGTGTCTTGATCAGGCAAACTCTCAAAAAAACGAGAAAACAATCGGATTTATAGCTATTTAAAAAAAAGGAGTATTAAAATGCTAAATTTAGAAACAGAATCGGGCGTTTTCCCCTGTCTTTTCTCGAAGTAAATAAACTGCTACAGTTTTCTTGGTTTTAGTGAACTATTGTTTATTACCTAAATCAGTAAAGTTATCCGGACCGTTGCACGGGTTTTTTAGTCGCATGTGTCCTGCAGCTCCCGATCTACAAATTAACTATTGGTTTTTAGAGTGGCACCACAAAACCGCAAGAGCCATCCTTCTACGTAAACACGACCGGTTTCCTCTGTCAGTGCTGTAAGTGTTACTGTATAAATATTGGAATTGATTTTTAGACGAACCTGCCACTCAACTGGCAACTACCAAGCTACCTGGAGGTTTGAATTTTTATTTGGGTTATACCGAATTTTTAGATAACTCGACCATGGAACCCATCGATACTGAAAACCCTTTTGAAACTGCTGGCTCGACAGAACCAATGGGTAATGGAACCACCCTTGCTCCGGATTCGAACGCCACAGCAGTCACGAGCAGTCAGCAATCACCAACAGCTGCCACAGCTCCACCTGGCGGTTGGTGTCTCTTAAAAAACCAGAAATCCCCACGACGTGCGCAAGCAAAAATGACTTTATAGCCATTAGGCGCACCTGGGAATTTCACACTCTGTCCCCCACACCCACTCATTAGTGGAAAAGGCCCCCGGAATGGGTTCGGCAATCAATCCCCAGTGAGCCAAGTTGGTCAAAACAGACCCAACTATAGTATGGGTTAGTCATAATCGACTACGTACAGCCTGTAAGAGGAAGCTTTTCAATAAATGGATCACGAAGAGAAAGAGAGACCGTGGCCAATTATCGGGGGACATCGACCTGTGGGTGGTTGACCCACGGGGGGTGCTAGGGATTATACCCTTTTTTGTTGATGGTCCGACGAGAATTTGAAGCGATCATTCCAATTTTCCAGGTTCCGCTGGCGAGACCGGGCCGCGATGGTTTATCCTCATTGGTATTGCCGCCCTTCTGGCACGTGGATGTTAGCCGCCATTAAAAACTGAAATATACTTGCTCGTTTTGATTTGTTATTGATTGAATTTCTCATTTTAATATCTGGCTTCCCATATCGATTTGAAAGCTCGCTTATTCGCGGATAACTCTTTCTGTTTCTACACCTTTTTTGTAAAAATTACTGGCTTGACCTCCTTCACCTTAATCAATCTAAAGTATTGGATCGACAATTTCAGTTTTCCTTTACAATCAGAGCGTCTAAAAAACAACTAATTCTAAATTTGGCTTCGTAGTCATACCTCTGCGCAACTAAAAATCATTTGCGCCAATTGATTTTCGAAGACCCAACCTTTCCATCATAACCCAAAATCATCACCCCTACGACCCCGCTAAAATTCAATCAACCCACCCGGAATTAGCTCAACCACTTTCATGAGTGCCAACGTGTAGTTACAAACCGTGTTCTCCCCTCGTCAATTCCCAATCACCCAGGTTAACCCAATAAATTTTAGATGAGGTGGGCCCTCTTGAGCTTGGTGTTCCACCTGGCCATCTCGGTCGACAATGCCTTCGAGGCTGTTCCAAATAACCTTTTAATAGCCGCACCTCAAGAGGTAGCACCACAACCTGCACCAGATGATCCCATCGATCCAGAAAACATTTGGGGCGATTTTGCAAAGCCGAAGAAAAACAACAAAAAGGACAAGGTTAAAAAGGCAAAAGCTGCGGTGCAATATGATATCCCTACCGATCCCCTCGTTGAAATCGGCAATCCGGATCCTCAAATTTTCTTCAATCTGGTCGCCGATACATCCATTGACGCATCGACTCAACAGCCAACGAGTACTTCATTCTGGGATAAGCTGAAGAATGCGGCAAATCAAGTCGGGAATAGCATTTCAAACACATTTGATGGTGCTAAAGATTGGGCTGCCACTGCTGCTTCAAATGCTAAAAACTGGACAGCTACTGCCACCCAGAATGCTTGGAATGCCACGAAAAACGGCTGGTCAAAGACGAAAAACGCCACCGTCAACCTTTGGGATACAGCCAAGAACAAAACAAAGGTTGGACTAGATAAAATGAAGAATATCACCAAGGAAGAGTGGGGAAAGCTGAAAAATACAACGAAAAATGGCTGGGAGAAGATGCAAAATATGACCCTCTCAGAGGAATGGGCAAAATTGAAGAACACAACTAGCAATGGATGGAATAACCTAAGAAATAGCACAAGGAACGGATGGGGCAAGATGAAAAACATGACAAAAGAAGAATGGGCTGAATTCAAGAATACAACCAAAAATGGGTGGGGAAAGATGAAGAATATGACACAAGAAGAATGGGCTAAACTGAAAAACACAACCAGCAATGGCTGGGCAAAGCTCAAGAATGGGACGAAGAATGGATGGGATAAAATGAAAAACATGACTCAAAATGGGATGGACAAGACGAAGAATTTTACAAATATTGCCATGAACTGGACGAAGACGGAGTTAGGGGAGTGGAAGAATGATACCAAGGAAGGATGGGCAAATCTGAAGAATTTGACAAAAGAAGGGTGGGACAAATTGGCAAATTCGACAAAGAACGGGATAGCCCAACTGACAAATGCGACACAGGCTGGATGGGCTAATGCAAAGAATTTGACAATGATCAGCTGGGATATGGTGCAAGGAAAGATTGAAGCGATGAAGCAGGAGAGTAGAAAGGATCACGAGTTGTGGATCAATTTGGTGAATGATAGCATTGTTGAAACGGATGAAAAAAACGATGAATCTAGCGCGCCGGAAATATTGGTAGATCCAACACCCCAACAGCAACAACAACAATTACCAATGATGAAAATTGATAATTTCTGGGAGCACGGCCCGGCGGAAAATGTTCAAAGACAGGTCGTACAGGCTTCAGTTCAAAAAGAAACAACGGTGGGCTTAGGGCAAGCCGAACCATTCGGCGAATTTGTTTCTAATCAATTCCAACAGACCCTCGCCCATATGAATCAGCAAAACCAAACGGCACGCAAACGACGAGCCGACGAAATCTTTGCCCAATTGGCCTCCGAAGCACAAACTAACATCGAGAAGCTGACCCAGGGCAATGATAACCAAATTTTTGGCAATCTCGGAGTGAAAGTCAATGAAAATGGGGCAAATGTGATGGAAAATGGCATGGAAGATCTTGATCCAGCCCTCATCCAGAATATGTTCGATGCGGCAAAATCATTGAGCTCTGCCTTGCTCAACTTCACCCAGACCAATCTCACTGAAATGCTGAGATCGAACGATTCAAAGAATTTCTCAAAAGCTGAGATCCAGGAAATGCTTACCGCCACCCAACAGTCATTTCAGCAAATTAATCAATTAGTTGAGAAGACGATTAGTATGAATAACGAAAATGCCGGGCAAGTGATGAAGGATATTCCAAATGAGAGCGGTAAATTATAAAAAAACTAATTATAATATTCAAATTTTAGTTGGGCTTGGAAATGTGACGACGAGTATGGAAAGTGCTATTAGTGATGCTCAAGCAGCGCTGAATGTCGACAACCCAAGCAAGCTCCAGGTCAGTACCGTACCTGAACTCTAGCAGTCTATTGTAGATGATTCCGTTAAACTAGTGCGAATCATAGAATAGCAAGGCATACTGCAAATATATTTAACTTTTTTTTCAGGAAGCCATCGACCGCGCAAACGATGCGATCCAGAAACAACTTGACGCTCTCAATTCCGTTACAATTGCGACCCAGATGACCATGGCACCATCCGTTGCCGGCTCGGTCGTTACCGAAAAAACCTCGACGCTCTCACCGGCTAGTCTGAGCCCGGATTCAGTCGTTCTCATCTCCTCAACGGAGGTTATTGTGATTGGCCCAGCCTTCACAACGACTGAGCCCGCCTCTGTTGCGGCTTCTGCAGCCACTACCGCTCCTTCATCTGCTGCAGTTTCCGTCGCTGGTTCTTCTTCTTCCATGGCCTCAGGAGTTCCCTCGTTGGCGACGACTGGAACGTCGACTGCAGTCAATATGTCCAGCGTCGTCTCGATGGCTTCCTCAGCAGGAGTCTCGGGTTCCACAGTCTCTGCAGTTGTGGATAACGCTACATCATCCACTACCACCGCAGTGTCTATGACTTCTGCCGCTTCACAGGGGGCAAGCGTCGCGACCACCATAGGCGCTGCTCTCGCTGATAATTCCACGACCACCGTACCGGCTGCGGTTAATATTACCGGTATCCCAAAGGCCATTATTAATAATCTCGTTTTTAGTGCTCACCGAGGCCGCATCCACGCTGCCAGCCCTGACCCGCGACCCTGGAGAGCTGGTGCCAATTCCAGACTTTGCAAAATACAGTGATAACCGTTTCCAAAGTCCTAACATAATTTAGATGGTTGTGTAATTCACCAGGTCGATCCACACTCGAAAGTCAGCAACTCGGCATACCAGGTAGAAGCCAAGGCGCTAAAGACAAAACATGATTCTAGGAAGTGGGCAAAACGCAAGATTGTGAAGCGCTTTGCAAAGCGGAAACAATGTTCCAATGCCAGGCTTATACATGGGCTGGCAAGCTCTATGATATTCTGCTTTGATCGCCTTTTAGGCCCCGGAAGCTATTGCATGTTGCATGGAGACCTAGATGCTTCAATGGTGACGATTCAATCCCATTCGAACTACTACCTAACTGATTACCAATGTGTGAAAACAGGAGACAGTGGTATTTTTAGATCATTATTTGCCTATGCAATTAATTAATTGTAGGGACCGGTATCAAAACGTGCGTCTTTGTTGAAAGAGGTGTGCAAATCTCAGACGATCTGAATTTGCCGAAATATAGAAAATATCGGGTACTAGAATGCAGCTTACAAAAAAAACAAATATTTTTTAGGCTCAATCCATCCAATATTGCCAACAAATGTGCTCGCTGAGCAGCTTGGAAAAATGCACATCATTTGCCTACGACCCAACGTAATTTTCTGTTTTAGCTAACTGATTATTTTTCAGGATTTCCTTCTACGATGGCTACAATTGCTTGAACTTCCATCGATCACTTTCGCTGACCGAGCTACCGCGTGGCTCATTCTCCCTCTACGAAAACCCATGCCTACTCACGACTTAATAGAGCTTTATTGTTGTTATTGTAGGCTTCGAATGCATTTATTTTGGCCGAAAGATGCAGGAAACACGATATTTGATAGAGTGAAGAGTGTGTACACCCGATGCTTCGTCGAGAAATTTTGTGGAAGTTGGAGATTTGTGAGGGATGGGGGAACTTAAATTCGCAAAAATTACATAAAATCTCGAAAGCGGAAAAGCTCATTTGACCAGGCGGGTATAAAAAGAATCGAGAAAATTGGATGCAAAAAATGGAAAAGTAAAGATTCGGAATGATTGGTGCAAGCTATTCAAATGTGTAGGGGTAAATGAAATACATTTACAGTCATCAAATTTAGAATCATTATTGATCCCTGATACTGGTATAGTTTTTCGGAAATGACGTAGATTCGGGCCGAGCGGCAGGATTGGAAACTAAGGTACGGGATTGTACAGCTATTCTGGCATTGGTGGGGAAAACTAATAATTTAAGGTTGTGCTGCGGTCTCGTTTGGAACTTTGTCTCGTGGGGAATGGAGAAGAGGATCGACGAGAGGTAGATCCTGGTTTTTCGGTCGTCGCTGTGGCTGCTTGCGTGAGCGATTTCGCGTAACCACGAGGCCGATGATTCCAACCACTATCAGCACGATTCCCACGCCTCCCACGATGTACCAGAGGTTCGAGCTTGAATCGGCCTGAAACGGGAAGTTATACCGGAATTGTAAGAGCTCCCTGAAAAACCCGCCCTTTTATGCGCCAGGCGACTTTGTCTATTACCCTTTTCTCGCGCAAAATTCCCCTTACCTTATCGATTTGACCAGATGCCGTTGTTCGCTTTGGTTTTGAACCCCGATCCTCCTAAACCAATAATTTTTTCAAAGCCAAAAATACTCATCCAACCTCTTCATCTTCCTTCTCCTCCTCTCCAGATTTTCCAAGCGATTCCCCGGCATTTTGCTCTTCCGAGGTGGCAGATTCATCAGCTGCGGCTCCAACACCGAATTCGGGCACTTTTTCTAGAATTGATTGTGCATGAGAAGTTATATTTTGGATACCGCGATCTTCTTGTGGCTTTGGTGGTTCTTCCTTGATTATCGGTTCCGCCTTGACCATAGGCAGTGCTGGTTGTTCTGGGGTAATCTTCACACCGGCTACGACAGAATCATCCTAAATCCATTTGGTATTTATCAATATGAAGAAGGAACCAATTTTGTTTGGGTGGAATCGACTGGTTTGAAAAATGAAGCATCAGCACCAGCAGCTTCGTCCTCATTTTTCGGTTTTTCTGTAATGGCTGGGGGAACGACGGACCGGAATGAAGGCAGGATTACAAGTTCCTAAAAAACTTATTTATTTTCATAAAAAAATAGTACCTTTAGGGTTGTTGCTTTCTCCTCCTGAATCACGACCCCTCCCAACGGACCTTCTGTAATTGCCTGCTGTTCCAGAGCAGTTAGAGTAGTCTTCTTTTCCTGAAAATCCCTATTTTTTCAAAACTTGCTGCCTGTTTTACCGGCATTAGCGCTTCCAATGGTGCGGCAACCTCTTTCAGAACAACCGGCTCCTCAAAACGCGTACTCGGCTCAGGTATCTGTAAACCCAACATCTTCCACCCTTTCACAATTTACCACTTCATCCCGGGTAGATTTCGATTCAAATCGCTTCGGATACTTCAAATCCTGAACTCCCAATGAATTTTGGACTATGAGTGCACACGGTTGGTTGGTTTTTGGGTAAGGAGTTGAAAGAACAAAGACAAATCGGTTGGGAGTAAACAGTTTTTGCGGTGGTTTTAACTAGCGATTCAAACCTTAGTAAGTTAATGAAAACAATTAGTACCTCTGGTTGAGAAGTGGTAGTTGATGGTTGAGCGGTAGTTCCGGTTTTCTTTGCTTCGACCGGACTGGTAGTGGTTTTTCATCAAGACGCTGGCTTGAGGATCGGACTTCTTTTTTGGCGAGTTCAGGCGTGTATTTTGGTAAGTCTTCGATACTGGCTACTGTGGATTGGGCGGCTGATGCTTCCTTGGACGCTTCACTCGACTTTTCAGTGGAAACTGGGGCGGCTGAAGCTACCGCAGTAGGCTTGGAAGTCTCTTTCTCAACTTCCTTCGAGGTGGACTTAGCTTCAACCTTTTCTTCAGGCTTAGCGGTACTTTCAGCTTCCTTAGCGGTCGAAGCCTTAGCCTCTGTCACCTTTTCAACAGGCTTTTCCGTGGCTTGCGCCTTAACCTCAGCCGAAGAAGTCACCGTACTCTTTACAAGCTCTTCACTTTTTCCTTCAGCCGAGGCTTTTCCATCGGTTTCACGAACATCTCTTGGGGCAAGACGCGGCGAAAGACGAGCCATTTTGTCAATCTACACGGAAAGTTAGTGCATGAACACTCAGTTAATCCGGACGACATATGGTTAAGGTCCATAGGATCATACAGATATATTCAGAAATCGTGCTGGGATATGGGCTAACCTTGAGGACGTGGGGTTTTGGTCGGCGTTCCAGTTCGATGGCCATACGGGATCGTAAAAGGCTTGCGGTTTTGCCATTGCATACAGTTCCGGTACAGCAACAGATGTACTGAAATTTTGAAGGTAAACTGCATATTTGTATGGGTAACCTGAGATTCGAAAAGTTTGCATTCAGATTTGGTACACATTTCGATAGAGGCACAACCAGATGTGATGCGATTCTGAAATATGTGTGGTTTATCCAGTCATCTATTTTGGGGTGATAAAGAGGCTTTACTTTCGGCTACGACCAAACCACGTTGAATGCACGGCATCCCGTCTGATCTGCCAAGTTAAGCAACGTTGGGCTCGGTTAGTACTTGGATCGGAGACGGCTTGGGAATACCGAGTGTCGTAGGCTTTTTGGTGTTTGTAATTCCTTTTTGAATATCTAGATCGAAACTCGTGTCTATGAATCTATTTGCATGCGCACTTCCGGCGGTCGTTCCGCAACTAAAGCCCAAGAAAAGTCTTTACTTGAGAGGGAAAGAAGCATTTTGCTATGGTTAGGCCGGATACAAGTGCCGACATATCAGACTGATATTTTTGACATTGAATATCTAACGTGGCGGTTTCTCAACAGTTCCTTTAACAACCTTTATATTTGAATCTACCCGTTTCCATTACCCCCAAAACTGTCCCATTGACTGTTAACCTCTAGACCTATTTCCCGCTACATGCCCAAGCGACCTTGTCGTCGTGAGCGGGGGTGTATTTGGCTGTGTAGTGGAGTGTCTCGCAATTTCCATATCCGGGCCGCGGGGCCTTTTGTTGCCTTATTGCCACCACCCGAATCCGGGGGGGGGTATTGGGGGTGGGCCTATAATTAGAGGGCATGTAGTGGAGGTTTGTAGGGGGTCCCAAGTGTTGACATGCCGCTTGAATGCCTTCCTCACCCCCTTTTGCTCTACGGGGCTTCACCTGGAGGAAATGGGAATGGCTTGGGGGTGGGTATAGGGCCGGATATTGCTCCTGGTCAAATGGTAGTAGGCTATAATTACAAGGTAAGTTAGAATTTTAGGGTTGAGGGGTAGGGATTGGAATTTGGCCTAGGGCCATTCAAGCGTGGAGAAGTGTGGTGAATTCAGAGGGCATCCCAAAAAACACGTTTCTCTACTGGTTCCTAGAGGTTTCTGATTTTCATTAGGTATTATTCGGGCTCTTGAAATAGCGGGAAAGCCACTGGTTCCGGTGTTTCAGATTAACTATATTAATTCTTTTTCATGCCCAAAAAATGAAAAAGCCTGATTTATTATATATTTATAGTATCTTAAGTTTCACCCTGGGCCGTCTTCTCAGGGACCTAATATCCAGAAAAGCCAACATGATCTAAGAAATAAAACTCGCAAGCTTTCTCGCCGTTTTAAGAGCTTTCGAGTGCGGTAAAAACTCATGCGGGTCCGGACCACCCGGAACTAATTTTTGGGAAAACGTATATATTTTTATTCTTATCGACCTTTGACCCTACTGATACCAAAAGTTTCTCCACTGACCAAATCTCCCCCCCCAAGAATTGTGTGTAGCCCACCAGCTGGTTGCTCGAGCTTGTTGACGAAAAGAAAAAAGAGGGGGTGGTAGGCACGGGACAGGTGTGATGAGTTGTGTTTGGACACTCGAGATGTGTGTGCGTCAAAAACTCACATCTTTCCGATTTACCGCATCGTAGCAATAGCCGGATCCGCACTTTTGGGTGACCTCGCCTACGCAATGGACGTTCTGGAATGTAGCACTTATTGGATCTTAAAAATAAATATCAATAATTTTTTAGAAACGTGTTGTAAAATGCAAAGCTAAGGTTATCCAAAAATAAATAGCTTTGTAAATGACAACAGGCAGGGAAAAATGATGGTTTTAGTCATCTTAGCATCTTTGGTTTTGGCTTTCTCATTAAATTCAATAAAAATCTTTTAACCCACCTCCTTTGCAGCTTGTGGTGTTTGAATATGGGGCCTCAAAAATAGCTAAAAACAATGGCTCTAGTTTTAAGCAAAAACCATACATCAGCTGCTGCTCCACAAGCATATCCACAAAACAATGCCAGACATACCCATCTCAGCATCATCCTAAAAATCCGAATCGAAAATCCGCCTTGAACTGGCGCCAAGATATCGAAGAAAGAAGACAGACTAAAAAGAGAACGGCGCCACGGGTATCGTTTTCTTGAGTGGACTCACCCCCGCCCTTTCAAGAGTTTTGTGATCCAAGCTTTTTTTGTTGATCAGTGGCTACGTGGGATTTCGGGTCCGTCTCGCCGGTTCGAAAGTGGGTTTCATGAAATTTAAAAAGCGCTTGCGGGTAGCAAAGGTGGGAAAGGGATACCGGAAAGGAGAAAAAACGGTTTTGAGAGGCGGGTTGGATTGAAAGTGGCCGGGTTATGGATAGGCTCAAGGAAAAAGGATAGATAGATAGATAGATGAGGAGGAGAAGAAAAGGGAGGGGATGACATACCGGCTTGGATAGGGGAGGAGAAAAGAAATAGTTAGTGCAGCAAAGACGGGCAACCAACAACTATGGGTCGAAAACTGTATGAGTTAAGTTTTTGCGCTGCTTGGGGTTACCGATTTCGAAGTTAGTTTCCACCTAAGATTTCAAAGTGCTCGCTAGAATTCACAGTTTTTAGCAAAAATGCGTAATTTCTATTTTAGGTGGATTTTTGCAGACCAGTTCTTTATGTCTTCGCTGCTATTTCCATCGGTGTTGTTTTATTGTCAATTTTATCGCTACTTAAAGAGGTCAGAAAGGCGAAAGCAGGGTCATTTGGGTTTTCGGTAGCCCCTAGTAGACGGGAGAAGATTTTCACGCGGAAAATATAGTAATAAGAACGTTTTGAGGTAAGGATAAAGTCAATTTCCTAAAAATAATCAGTAAATACTAAATTGCTAAATGCTAAATTTTTGTGAATTAATTAGAAGATTATGGAAGAACGAAGCAGCTGCAATAAAAGCATAAGCGAACAAAAATAGTTACGTAGTAGGTAAAAAAAAATAGAAAAACAAGAGGTAAATTTGGGAAAACCAATCAAGCGATCCGGTCTATTTTGATCTCATTCTCCTCGATATCGGACCGGCCATTGCTCTTGGTGAGGCCCAGAAAATAGTTAGTGCATGCAATTTGTCGGGGCGTATCAAGAGGGGCAGCTGCCAAAAGTCCCCAGAGGAACGGCTCACGAAGTGTTGATGGATGCATTTTAGGGGCCAAACCCATGTTCCGCCACTGCCTCGATCTACCCCCACCCCATTTGATCCACTGCCCCCAATTGATTTACCCGCAGGTGCCCATTGTCATTCTCATCCCAGAAAGATGTTTTAAAGGGTTTGTGACAGCTGCGGGTAGGCGATCCCAAAAAGACATATTCTTGAAAAGATGACCCGGAAAATTCAGGCCGATCGTATAACAAAACGAATTTTCCTTTGCCGATTTGCCTTCGGCAGCCGAGTGCACCCTATAGCTCCTTAGCCACCGACAAACCCCAACAATTTGGAAGTCAAACGGGTGAGCAAATTTTTGCGATAATTAGCTAAAAGCCAACCGGCCGGGCGCCATTGTTATCAAGCGCATAAAAACCAGAATGACCCACCCGAACACGGTGGGGGTCCCTAGCCGGATTTGAGTATCTGTGTTTCTAGAATTTAGAAATAAAAAAATTCTTTATGGCAGATGTGTTGAACGTTTTCTTAGGATATAATAGCAGTGAAAGAAAGTAAAAAAGGGCTGTGAAGGCGGCAAAGTGTCGGGTCACAAAGCTGTGGCCGATAAGGATCGGAAGTGCTGACCGGGTGCCTAGAGGTTGAGAAAAGAGAATGAGTTGCAGCAGAAAAATCTTGAGTTGGGATAGGAGTCAATCAAGAATTAGATGGTTTAAAATTTCAAATAAAAACGCTGCATGCAACTTACATTAACGTGTTTCACTGGTAAGGGAAGGTACGTTAAGGTAACAGAAATCGTCAGAGAGCACTATGTCCATATCATAATGTAGAAAACGACCGCTTCTAAAAATTACTGCCAATGTTGCCCGTCTGGGGTCCCAGATGGGCGAAGGGTTGACACACCGCCAGGCGGTTTTTCAACCCCGCGAAGCTATTAATACTGAAAGTGTTCGAGACCTTGTTAGCCACTCGAAATGACCTGAACGCGGCGTGTATGGTGGGCGGGCAGGTCCTCAGACTGGTGCATGGGGCTTATAATTGAACGAGTGGCTTTATTGGCCCTCGAGCAGCCCATGGTGCAAATCCCGACGACCACACTCGCACACAGGGATTGAAAGAGAGAGAGAGAAAGAGAGCCAAAGAGAGACATACATGCACCAACTCACACCTTGGCCATGGGGCACCGCCCCAAACTCGCAGAATCTCGGCTGGTGATACGACACCATTAATGTAAAAAAATATGGAAATTATGAAATATTTTTGCGAGTTTGAGCTAATCGAACAGAAAGCTATTTTTTATCTCATTGAAAAAGTGCTGTGTGACCTATTTGTTATTTTCGCCAATTTAAAATTAGGTCTGTTGAATTTTGGCTAGAGAAAGATCCCGAAATGCTAAATAGGTTAAATAAAAGTCAGATCAGATGCAAATTTGGTAACACGCAATTCGGGAGATCAAATTCTACCAGATTAACTTAGCTCAGATAATAATCAAGTCGTAATTGAGATAAACCATGGGGTCAAGACTAAATTAAGACTACTAATTGGAAATTAATGAGAAAGATTTGCAAGAAAGATTCAATCCTAGATAGTCTACGTTAAGTTAAACTGGCTAGCGCGCGGTTGGACACCATAGTACACATGTCAGAACACCTTTTCATATAAAAATATGTGAATGACTTCAACCCCATCCCATCGTCTGTCGCCAGCTGCCATATCCCCATCTACCCCCCCCCCTCCCAAAGTTTACACATATTCAATGTTCAGATGGCCATCTTTGAGAGCCTCCAATAGGGATTAAGCGGGATCTGCTCGCGCACACTCGACCCCTCCTATGTTTATACCCATATACATCAACCCCACCCTCGGTTTATACCCCTCAAAATTAATGAAAAGCCATCAAACAAACGCAGGGGCAAATTGTGAAAGCGGTGGTGCAACCTAATCTGCCAATCGAAACGCTCCCCCCTTCAGCTCCCGCCTGGCAAAAAGCGAAACCAGATAAGCTCGGGCCCGATCGGGTTTTGTTTTGGGCTTTTTCAAATATGCAAAATAAGATAGAGGTTTCTCGGAATAGGGAAATGGCGGAGCCTTTTTCAGTGCAGAGCGGAAAAAGGTGCCATGAATTTTTTCAAGGAGTCGGTTCGCGTTCCTGAGGGCCTATCAGCTCCCGATAAAAACGTAAGTGTAAGACGTCAGCCGGCTTAACGGGTTTCGACGTGATTTCTGGCAAGGACAGGGTTTACTGCAGTAGCACTGAAGCTTGTGGATAAAATACAATATTTCTTACCCAAAAAATGTGAATTATTTAACTAAATAATAGATTAAAAAATATGAATCAATATTAAGAAAATCTGAAAATGGTAGCTTCCTAGTAGCTGACCGAAGCGGGAAGAATTTTTTGTGTTTCTATCTGAATCGAACTGGGAGAGGCAAATAAGCACCCGATAAAAAGTTCATGATAAAAGAAATGACTCAACAACCACAGTGAATAATCCTTGCGGGGGTGTCACTACAAATACCCGACAAATCGAAAACCTACAGCCCAAAACTCCTCATACACAAAAATTATCGCAAAGCCATAGCCATAGCCAATCCCGGAATAGCCTTCCCCGTAGTCTATATTTATCCAGATACCCTTGAATATTCTAGAACCAGTCCTCCAGATGACCAGTTCCAGAATTCGCAACACGCCCGCCCCCTCCCTTCCTCCCTCTGGCCGAGTCACAAATTGGGGGTTAACATTTCCGTCTGACGACCAAATGACCGGATTTCGAGTTGCAAATACACAGCATAAAGGGTGGGCGCCGTGTTGATTTAGTTGTTGACCTAGTTCAGACAGAAGGGAGAGGTCCGAATAGGAGAAAAGGGTGTCGAATGGGCAAATGGTCGGCATTCAGTAACTGGGCGACGGGGGGGACACACCATTTAGGGACGGACGACTGGTGGCGGCTGGAAATAACTTCCACCTTACTCTCAATACTCCGGGGAAACGGTTGTCAGTTACTGGTTAGGGTTTAGGAACGCAGTATTGTGGACTTTATCAGAACATGAAAGTTTGCAAAAATTGCATGTCTTAATCTAACGTGTTTTTTTCAAATAAGCTGAAAATGCCTAGAGACTAGTAATAATGCACGGAGTTGGTATTACAAAGTAATTTATAGGGAGCCAAAGTTAGCCATTTCAGACTAATCATCATAAAAGATTTAACTTTAAAAACTTTCAAATCGCGCATCCTTGAGAATTAGGATAGCAGGTTCAGCTTCATCAAAAACACTGCAAAATATAGGTCAGACTTTCAACCTGCTCAAAACTCAACACTTTTAGTTTCATTAAGTCTTGTAGCTTCAGAAAAATCAAAACCTCAAAGACATTTACCTAAACACCACTGGTACGGAAAGCATCAGCTGACTCCCAACTAAAACCCTTCCCGACATGCAATCCAGAAAATGGCTTCCGCCTAGACCTCGAAATTATTGCATTTCCCCGCCTGCTCGTGCTGCCCAACCCTACCTCCCAAAAACCCCTTGACCACTTTCCGGTAATCTTTGAAACCCAGCTCCATACGTTACAAGGAATAGCTTAAAATGAAATAAAGAAAACCTGGGCGTGATTTTTAGCAGGATTTTTCCCCGCACATCAATCAATCCCGCAGCCAACCGCGGATGTCATCTTGATTAGCGCATCGAGCTTGAGGTGTGGCGATCAAGCCGTGAAGCAACGATTCTAGTTAAAAAGAAACAATTTTTTATTTTGTTTGAAGAACCGGGCAGGTTTTCCTTTTGCGCATTGTGGCTCAAATTTCCAGAGGGTGAGGGCTTTTAAAAACAGGCTAATTGCGCGCGGCTCGGATTTCAGCGGCTGCATCAAATCCAGAGCGATGAAGGGTCGGTTTTGAAACGAAAGGGCAGAGGACTTG